TTTGAAAATCTAATAACAAAAAAGCAATGTTTTTATTACAGTAGGATAACAAAATTTAATATTTAAGTTGATTTAGAATGTTTCCTAAAGTCAAATCAAGCATATTTTTCAGATGAACTTATTTTGTAAATAAATATAATAAATAAAATAATAGTAAATAAACAAATAAATAAAAATTATAAAATTAAAATATTTATAAAGAGCAATGAAACTAGAATTAGGATCAGGCCTGGTATAAAGCAAAAATGTTATCCTGGAGGTAGATGCTGGGTTGGTTTACAGGCTTGTTTTGGAGGATAAGCAAAGTTAGAGTAGGAACAATATGCTTGTGTTGTCTGTCCTGCATATCAAGGAAGCCTCATTCTACAATGGTTGAAAACTATGGTATATAATCAATTCTGAGAATTTAATGGGACTATTTTTGCTAAAACATTTGTGTTTAGTAATCCTTTGTCAGATTGCACGTGAAATTGCTTGAATATAACATAGTGTATTGTTCTTATTTTGTTTAAGTACTTTATTGTTAAAACTTTATTATTTAATGCCACAATTTTGCTTTATAGTTATCATTACTTTAATGGTTCAATATTTAATTTCAGTGGCGCGTTGTGACATTTGATGATAGGGAAGCTGTATTTCCATAAAAATGTTAAATAAATACTGGAAATGACAAAAATAAGCAGTTTTATCTATTTTAGAATTAAAATAAATATTGACATGAAACAAATATCAGAACTTGGTTTTATTATTTATTTATAAACTAACTCTATTTGGCAATTTTTTTCCGAGTAGTCGTTTGTCGTCTATTTTATTAAAGTAGTTAAAAGCTCTTTTTCTATTGAAAGCAACGCTAATGACGACAATCTTCCCTCTGACAGAGTGTTCCTTGCCAATGTATGAATTTGCTTCATGGTTGAAAGACTGCATTCAACAGACACACTGATAGATGGTACCATGAAAATTAATGACATTAAATCATATAATTCTTTTAGTATGTCTATGTTCAGATCATTATTAATTATAATATTTTTTATGTCTAAGAGTGACTTGCCAATATAGTCTGGACACAAGTATAAATATTGCAATTCACTACGTAATTTAGATAAATCAAAAAATTCTCTATAAAATTTACTTAAGGAATTAAAACTTGCTTTGGAAAATTGTTTTTCATAATATTTAAAATTATTAGCATCTAAAAGAGATAAAAATTCTAAAGATTTTGTCTGAAAATCTGTCAATATAATTATAATTAAAAGAAAATTATAATTAAATATAACTTTGCAAAGAAACATACATAAAAATAATATAAAATTTTTTTTACTTTTTAAGTCTTAATTAAAACAATGCACTTAGTAGCTCCCTATGAGTGGCTAATGGATAGAAACATTGGAAGTGTTGTATGATATTTTGGTGTGTATCATCCACAAGCTAAACGACGAGAGGTTGGTGCTGTGTAAAGTGTATGTGCGAATGCCTGTAATCTGGCTGCTTTACATGATTCAAATATTTTTGCCATGGAAGCTGCCCGTGTTCGACAATACAGTAATACCTTGACTTACGCGAACCCGGAGTTACGTGATTTTCAAATCTCATCAATTTGTCTTTTGTTTGAGCGCCACGCAACTCTTGATTACTCACTTCCCCCACGCTATTGTTCGACTTACATGTTCGGACATGTCGCGCGGAATCGACATATAGCTACAATTTATTTCTGTGTTTGTTATATATATGGAAACTTGAGAGACTCTACCATGTCATCCAAATGAAGTAGAACTGATTCTTCTGCATCAAACAAGAAAAGAAAATCTTTATCTTTTGAATGTAAAGTTAACATTATTAAAGACTTTGATACAAAAATGAAAATTTGTGAATTGGCAAAGAAGTTTGATCTACCCGAATCGACGGTCTGAACAATTATAAAAGGTAAAGAAAAAATTCTCAAAGCTGTAAAAAAATGCTCAATCTTTAAATTTAAGCATCATTCTTAAACATCACAGTATTATCCCTGAGATGGAAACAATGTTAAAATTATGGTGTGATAATCAAGTAAATGTGAAAAATTGTATAATAATATAATTTGTTATACATATGTATTATCTAAGATTTTATTGAACATTTTTTTTCTAAATTATTGTTTTCTTTAGTCTCCGGCCCCAATTAAAAATTATTTGTATGTATTTATATGCAAAATTATACCCCGACTTACGCGGTTATTGCTTGGTCCCACCTATCGCGTAAGTTCAGGATATTACTGTATAGCGCTTCCATTGGGAATATACATATACAAATTTATATTTGATTCCAATGTTTCTATTCATTAGCCACTCGTAGGGAGCTATTTGACTAAGTGCATTGTTTTAAGACTTAAAAAGTAAAAAAGATTTTATTTTTATGTATGTTTCTTTACAAAGTTATATTTAATTATAATTTTCTTTTAATTATAATTATATTGACAGATTTTCAGACAAAAATCTTTAGAATTTTTATCACTTTTAGATGTTATAACTTTAGTGTGTTATAACTTAAAATATTTTTTATTCATAAATAGAGCAGGCTAAAAGGTTAAATTAGTGAGTCAATCAGTATAAATTTTTTAATGTACAGTACAGTATATTATAATATTTTATTTATACTTGTACATTATAACATTTTAAATTTGTTATTAATGTGAGAATCTGAGGGCTATTGTCTTGTAAAATTTTAATGAAAAATGCATTAATTTAGAAACTTGTCTATTCCCACAGTAATTAGAAAACAAATGAGCAGGTGTTTGTTTAAATGGTAAACAATTTACTAAAATACTTGTGTTAAAGAGGGATTTTTCACAACAAGTCCTTTTCCCCTCACATTGACCGGAAAACAGTTCGGAATTATATTAAACAATCAATTGTTAATTGTGAGAAAGTTGTTAGTTAATGACATCCACAAGGAGAATCTAAAACCAAACGAAAGAAATAGGAGATCTATGATTTGATTTTGTTTAAAATTCCTTGTCCGCTGATGACACATTTGCAGGTGTCGTCACTGCCAACAGGTGGTCATGAGACCAAATTCCCATGCTAGATGGGTATATAACAGTCTCATGTCCAACCTTCCAGGCAGACATACTCAGGAAATGACCATAGGGAGTTGCCCCGCCATATAGTCCCCAAAGGATCATTCTTATAAATTTTATGCTATGTGCAAATATTATCCCAAGCCATAACAGATATTCTATCACTGGATACAGCAGAGGTATGATAATTAACTACTTGTTGTAAACTCTCTGGCTTAGCGACCTGGATTTAGGATAGGATCAGTAGATGTCGAATCTTGGATGTATGCTTATACTATCTGTATAATTGTAACTGCAGTTAGTTTGTATATCTGCTTTATTAAAGTTCTTGTTTTGTTAACTTGTTTTTCTTGGATTAACGGACACTCTATCAAAGTCCTTGTGACCTCCCCACTCGATTGTTTTAAGACCCTCCTATTAAGCCATCCAGTGACCAAGTGAGCATGTCTTGTGACTTGACAACTAGGGGGCTAACCCTCACCCATATTCTCACATTAGTATGTCTCTGTAAAAAGATGCAATTTAATGGACTTTGGCAAAAGCAGATATAAATTTTTCCCAAATAGTACATTAAATTGAGGATTATTGTTTATTTTAACATGAGACATGATAATGTTGATAACATGAATGTCAATGATATCCATGATTATAAGCAATTCTACATATTTAGTTTATATCCAAAATTTTTACATTGATTTTTAAATAAAGTAAGAAATTAATAAATACGTAAACAGGTTGACTTCAATATTGGCTGAATATTTAGCATTTAATGTTTTCCAAACTATTATCTATTAATTTAATAAAAAGTATATCTTATCATGATGTACTATATTAATGTTTGTATATTAAGTAGTTGCTAATGTATTTTTGTTTAAAATAGAAAGTTATATTGACATTATGCTGGTTTCCTGATTTGATATTATTTTGTTTTTATTTATATAAACAAAGTTCTGTCTTATATAAATAATAATCTCTTATCTTTCATGTCATTGATTATTGAGTTAACTTGTTTAAAATCATAAGAATTTTGTAAACATTTGATAACTTTTAAATTGTAATTTCATAAACATTATCTAATAGTAATAACTTTATTTTTGTTTATAAATTTGAAATTTTTATAAATGTAAAATTTGGATCAATATTNTGTTCGTACAAAATAAAAAAATAATTTTTAACATAGTCTTTGTTAGGCTTAACATTGACGAAAATTCAACGCGAAGCAACATGCAACGGAGAAAAATGTCAAGATAGGATAAATTAATATATTTTTTCGTACATAATCGGTTATCCGAAACATCGATCTTCCGAACAACCCCAGTCCCCAATTGATTCGGATAATCGACGCTCTACTGTATAAGTAATTCTAAATTAATTTTGCTTATTTCTGTTTATTCTGCTTTACAATGTATTAAAAATTTATAATGAATAATCATAATTAATAAATGAAAATACACAGAAAATATGAATGAGAGTGTGAATTGGCTAGTATAAACATAATGTTAGGAAATGGATAATTAAGCATTATAAAGAATCTAAATTTAAATATTAAAATTTTTAAAAACTTTCTGACATATTTAAAATATCAGGTGCATTTCATATAAATATTACAATAATGAAATCATAGATACAATTGGAAGATTTATGAAATGTAACTATTATGAACTGTAAATGATATTTATAATATATTTTGTATGGTTATTGCAAAATTGATTTTAAAACACATTTCATTTACATATTTTAAAATTTGTAGAATGCAAATAATGTGATTTAAACTATACATGTAATAAAATTTGTGTATGTATTAGCAGCATAGTATCTTACACAAGTCATCATCATAAGCACAATTACAATTTAAAAATATAAACATAACAGTTTAGTGGTGAGTGAAAGTACTCCTAACATTATGGAATTACTTCATATGTGCATGTTTTTGAATATNTAACACTTATTTGTGACCCTCATTTGGTAAATAAAATTTTATATTTGATTTTGATTAATTCTGTTTAGTAAATTATAAGTGTAAATATAATAATTTTAAGATTTTACAAGAATAATTTTTTCTTTTTTAGGGTTCACCACAGTTAAATTTGAAAGGGAAATGTGGAATGGATTTTATTTGGAGGACATCTGCAGCATGTAATTCCTTAAATAAAGTTAAAGAAGTTCCTTGTTATGTTTATGATAAAGATGGAAATAAGAGAGACTTAACACATCTTATACAGTCAAAAGGGCATTATTCAGTAGAATCTGCTTATCCATCAGTTGAATTCTACATTAATGTTTGTTCTGAAATAATAGGTATGACTTTTAAAATACAAAATTTTAGTATTTGTTATAGATATATAATCAAAAAATAATTTATTTATCAAATCACAATAATGAAAGATAGGAAATAATTTGCTGTTTTATGATAATTAGTGTGAAATAATTAAATTTTTATTAATTTATAAATCTATATATATATAGNTATCCGAAAGTCAATCATCCGAAAGAATTCCAGTCGGCAAATTTAAACTTTCACCAGTGCTGTGGCACTGCAATCTTTGGCTATGTCTTGGGCTACTCAAATATTATGTTTTTGATACTAAATTAACTTCTGAATATAATTTTTTATTGTTTTTATATTTTTCAATATATTTATTTTGTTCGTACAAAATAAAAAAATAATTTTTAACATAGTCTTTGTTAGGCTTAACATTGACGAAAATTCAACGCGAAGCAACATGCAACGGAGAAAAATGTCAAGATAGGATAAATTAATATATTTTTTCGTACATAATCGGTTATCCGAAACATCGATCTTCCGAACAACCCCAGTCCCCAATTGATTCGGATAATCGACGCTCTACTGTATAAGTAATTCTAAATTAATTTTGCTTATTTCTGTTTATTCTGCTTTACAATGTATTAAAAATTTATAATGAATAATCATAATTAATAAATGAAAATACACAGAAAATATGAATGAGAGTGTGAATTGGCTAGTATAAACATAATGTTAGGAAATGGATAATTAAGCATTATAAAGAATCTAAATTTAAATATTAAAATTTTTAAAAACTTTCTGACATATTTAAAATATCAGGTGCATTTCATATAAATATTACAATAATGAAATCATAGATACAATTGGAAGATTTATGAAATGTAACTATTATGAACTGTAAATGATATTTATAATATATTTTGTATGGTTATTGCAAAATTGATTTTAAAACACATTTCATTTACATATTTTAAAATTTGTAGAATGCAAATAATGTGATTTAAACTATACATGTAATAAAATTTGTGTATGTATTAGCAGCATAGTATCTTACACAAGTCATCATCATAAGCACAATTACAATTTAAAAATATAAACATAACAGTTTAGTGGTGAGTGAAAGTACTCCTAACATTATGGAATTACTTCATATGTGCATGTTTTTGAATATTAATGTATTAATATAATTTTAAATGTAATATAATTTTACATGTAAGTTATTAACAATCAAAATTTAAAAAGAATTGGAAACTTCTCTGTACATATCTATTTTAATTAATTAATAGATTAACTGAATATTTACCATATGCCTTTTATTTCCCGGCATTTGTTTTGTGTGAGCAAGTGCTTTCAGTCTTTTTTAAAGGGTCATCTTTATAATTGAATATTATAAAATTATAAAATTGCAGTGTGCAATTGTTATCCAATGAATTTAGCAGAACACATTGAAACTCGTTTATTTAAATTTTAAAACAAATTAATGTGTACTTATGATATTTAAAATTAATTATATACATCTCTATGAATATCTTGCAAATTGTTTTTACACTTTCATGTGAACATGTTTAAAAATAGTAATACAACCACAGGAAATCTTCATTAATTGGAAATTAATGAAGATTTATTAACTTCCTAAGGGACAACTAATAAACGAAGGGACAAATAATTGTGACTTCAAATTATCAATTTTTGAATTATCCATGATTTACGTATTTCTGTACAATATGCTGATTGCTATGTAACTTGTAATTTATTAAATAAACAGAATAAGGCAACAAGTACAGGATGGTATTTGCATTAATTAATAATAATATAAATAAACTGCAGGTAAACAGAACATGTCCAGTGAGAATCTGACTGGTGGCTGATAAATTTTATAAAAGTCAAGCAGAATTCTTGAAATGTAGCCTAAATTATTTTTAAAGTAGCTCTAAAAGTAGTAAGTTGTCCAAATCTAGTAGCTTAGAGCCCTACAAATATCACAATCTGTTACTTATAGCCCAATTTTGCCCAGCCATATTTTATGAGCTACAAGAAAAAAGGTTTTCCATGTGTAAAGTGACACCTGAAAGTGTGTTACTATAAAAGCATAGCCATATTGACCAGATTAGGGTTGTTCTTGATGTATTGTTCTCTTATAGTATCTAGGAGGCACTTTGATCTAAATCCAGTGATTTTCAACTAGTGTGCCACAAAAATTTTTGAAGGTTGTTTAATAAATTATTTTCAAAAGAAGCTCAAAGAACAATCAATAAGTGTATATTTTAAAATTAAAACCTTTTTAAATTGATACAAGTTTTACATTGTGTTCGGTCAGTTATTTTTGCACGTGTGAAAACCTAACAACTGGGTCTAATCTGGAACCGATCAGGTTACACTTACATGTGTGGGGATGTCTTTTGTTCAGGTCAGTTAGATGGGCAGGACGTAACTGGTGTCCAGTCTAAACAGTTAAACCAATTCTTTGTTAGATTGATATTAAACAGTGATTTTTATGATTAGAGATCTTTACATGATAAGATCCTAACACAATGTTAAAATAAATAAATGTATACATAATGTAGTAAAATATATATATTCATAAGTAAAATTATAGGTGCATAATACCAAGTTATTTCTTTTAAATGCAAATTAAAACTTAATGTTAATTATTTTTCTTAGGTCAGATATCTCATGAAATGTTCAATTATAATAAACTGAAAAATAAATTTTTTTAAGAATTTTAATTATCTATTTATTAGAAATTATAATAATATGCTTTGTGTTAATAAATAAATTTAGAAAAATACAATCGTTTTACTCTTTTTTAATCATTATAATTTAAGTCTGCCATGGAAATTTAATTATAGGTTCAAGTGTTCTGTGAGATGATAAAGGTTGAAAAATACTGATCTAAACAAACAAGTTAACATATGCACATCAGAGTTCAAACAGAATTTTTACTTCAAATTTTGAAGTAGCTGTATTTTGAACTATCCAAATTCCTTAATATGTAAATCTCTATATCCCCAGCCAGGACAAATAGTACTGTTATAAACTAACAGAATTTCTAACTACTCAAGTTCAAATTAATGAGGATATTCTGTATATATATTTAAATATATCTAACCATTCAACTATTCCTAAATTCATGCAACTGTTTCCTTTTATAGTGTCCTCCATGTATTTGATAAACTCCTGGTATTATTTATTAATACAGTTACTGTTTATACATTTCCAGTATCTTCATTATTATGTGGTAATATGGGATTTCTGATATCTTTAGCAGTTTTTGCTTGGTTCCAATATATTTCATTTTCTTGTGTTATTGCAAATTTTGATGCTGCTATGTTTATTGCTTTTTTGTGCTATGCTAGCTTTGTTCTTTTATCCTGTTTGTAAGTGCTCCCAATGTAGCCCACCAGTGACCAAATGGATAAAATCACTGAACACTAGTAGTTGGTTGTGGGTTTGTGTCTCACCAACACACTAGCCATGTGGAGTTTTCCAGGTTTTTTCACATTTGTAACCTAAATAGGGCCAGTTTCTTATAAAAGTCCTTTTGGGAAGCATCTCCCTTGGCAGATTGTCCCTGTGTTGCATTGCCATAATCAAATAAACCAAAGCTCTTGGTGTATATCTTATAATCTTATAATTCTACAATATTTGATGAACTTATAGATGATCTCTTAAAAGGATTGAAAGTACTTATTTACACAAACAAATGCTTCTTTATTTTAAAATTAAGCTGTTTTAAAATTAGCTATTTTCTATTGCAAGTTTTAATGTTTTGTGTAATTTTATATTTATTTTTCATTTGTATTACTATATATATATATTGTAATACAAATGAAAAATAAATAAATAAATAAATATATATATATTTAAATATAAACTTAAAATATAAATATAAATTTAATATAAAATCATCATTATTATATTGTTTTATCAATATTTCAATAATAATGATGATTTTATATTTTAAATGTTGACCTTGATTATTTTCAAATTCAATGACTTGTTAAATTAAAACAGACCAAGGTAACAGCTAAAATTCTTTTATAATTGATTTTATTATTTTCCATTTGTTTTTATGGTATATTTGCTATTATGATACAAAATCGTTATGAATATGTCAAACCTATTCTGTTAAATCTTTACAATCAATATATTACAATTTCCTACTTTCCAGACAGCTGGAAGATTACAAAAATTTCTCTGATAAAGAAACAAAACTGTACAGACCAATACAGTCCTAAAGCCTTTCTTATGCAGCTTTCAGTTGGGGGGCATGTGATTTATGTTAAAAGTACAGCTGATAAATTTTTAAGGATATAGAGGCAATTTGCCTTAAGAATAACATGCTGCTGTAAAACAGTGTCTACTGAAGCAATTCTTGTGTTAATGCCATGGCCTCTCTATTTTTAAAAAAGATTCTGGAATACTGCATTAGGTGTGAATCTCTGTTATCAGTACATGAACATCATCTGTGTGCCACTGGTTTAAATATGTTTAATATTGAGAAACTTGTGATGGAGAATATTCTACATCCTGCTGAAGAAGCCAACTGTTGGTTTAGAGAAGAGCATTTTTTTGACAAGCAGATTGAGATTTATATATTTACAGATTGTTCCAAATCAGATAGAGGTATTGGGGCCAGTATTTGTATATTTACTTGCTATAACAGTAATAATATTACAGACCCAACCTTTATCCTAAATTACAAATTTCCATCTCACACCTCAATCTTCCAGGCTGAAAGGGAGGCAATGTATCAAGCAGTAGCCTGGGTATGCAAACTACAGGATAAGGAAAAGCAAGTAAACATATATAGTGACTCCAAATCAGTTCTTACTGCTGTTCTTAACAGCAGAATTAAAAAATGAGCAGGTTAAAAAAATTGAAGCTCTATTATCTTTATGCAGATAGAATAAAACTTGAGTATGTACCAGCACGTACCTGGTATACAGGGAAATGAAACAAGCTGATCTGGAAATAAAGAAAGCTGCAGCTGACAACATGAAGTTAATTAGCCTACCTGTTTCTAGGCAGTATTGAAGCAAATGCTGACAGCATACTTTACTCAGCTCTGGAATGAGGAATGGAAAAAAATTCTGTGGGATCTGTCATTTTCAGTCATTTCGATATTGTTCCTTGAGATGTTTGGGAATTCGTTGATAAATTTGACATCTTTGCTTATTATAACTTTTTTGTCTTTGTGTTCCATAGACAATATGCTTTTGTTTCACTATAATAGCCTATAAATATGCATTTGGTGGATTTCTCATGGAATTTTCCTTTTCCTGGTTTCTTTTTTAATGTGAATGCCATTTGACTGAATGTCCTAAAATGTTTGTTTGGCATTCTACCAGTCCATAATTTAAAGGGTATGGAGCCTTCAGGTTCTTTGATGGACATCTATTTCTAATATATGATGCAGTATATACAGCGTCTGCCCAAAAGCATTCTTTCTATCCTGCTTGGAGTGGCATGCATCTTTCCATTTCCACTAGTGTTCTATTTCTTCTCTGTGATGCCATTTTGTTGTGGTGTGTAGCAGGATGTTTTCTCATGCTTAATCCCTTTGTTTCAGGAAATTCTGAAATTCTCTGTTAGTATACTCTGTTCCATTGCCTTTATCTTTCTTCCAGTTTTATTTTCTACAAAGGCTAAGTATGTTTTCAATTTCTTGAGAGCTTCACTTTTGTTTTTCATGAAATAAATTTCACCTCATCTAGAGTGATCATCAATAAATGTGATGAAATATTTTGATCCACTCTATGATTTGGTTCTCATTGGTCCACAAATGTCAATATGAATCAGTTCTAATATTTTTCTGCATCTTTTTTCATTTTGCTTCAGAAATAGTGATCTGGTTTGTTTCCCTGTTATGCAGATCTCACAGGGGTCGAGTTCTTTGTTTCATCTTATATTTAGTTCTCTTATTTTTAGGTTGTTGGCCATGTGCCATACATCCCTTTTGTTTAAGTGACCTAAACGTTCATGCCACCTTTTCATTTCATTAACATTTGTTCAAGAGAGTTTAGATTCCTCCCACCTTTCTTTAACTTAGTACTGTATAGCCCTCCTTCTTTAAATGCTTGTATGTGTACACTTCTGGTTTTCAGATCCATAATAGTTGCCTGGTTCTTTTGGAATAGTACAATGAATCCATGATCAGTTATTATCCCAACTGACAGTAGGTTGGTTCTTAGTTCTGGTACAAGGAGTGTTTTCTCTAATTTGGCTTGAAATCTTCTCTTTGTTTCAATTATTACATCACCACTTCCTTTGATTTCTGTTGTAGATGAGTTGGCCAAGTTTAATTCACTTATGTGAGATGTTTCAATATTAGAAAAGCTTGCTTTATCATCGCACATGTGTGATAAAGCACCTGAGTCTAGACACCATTTTTAATTTTCTTCCCCTTCATTTGCTGTAATATTTGCATTATATGATTCCTGTTTTCGTGTTGTTAGGCTTGTACTCATAGCTCTCTGTGGTTTTTGCTTGTATCTGTCCAAGCATTTTCTTGCCATATGGCCTATTTTGCCACTGTTATGGAATTTGAATGGCCCCTTATTTTCTGATCATTTTGTTTGTTGTTTGCTTTATACAGCGCATCCAAATTCTTTGAATCATTGGTATCATTTCCTTTTCACACCTCATACTCTTCTATTAGCTTTACTTTGTGTGTGTCCGGCAAAAGAAGTTTGTCTTGTGTTTTGATAGTGATCTGAAATTGTTTGAATGATTTTGGTATACAATATAGCAGTAGTACTGTTAATAGTTCTTTGTTTATGGAGATTTCCATTTCTTTTAACTTATCTACTATATTGAAAAAGTCTCTTACATGATATGCCATATTATCTCCTTTCCTCATTTTCTTCAGAATTAATTTCTTTAGTAGCATATCTTAATTTCTTTAGTAGCTTTCTTGCAGGACCTATCTATTTGAAAATTTCATGTAACTTATTCCATATTTCATGTGAGTTTTCACATCCTTTTATCTGTTTTAATTCTGCTGGGCTTATGGTGAGGATTATATCACACATTGCCTTTGATTCTGCTGTGTCCCATTGCTCTGCTGCCTTCATTGTATTTTCATCTCCAAGTATAATTTCTGGTTTCTTTCTTTTTCCGTTGACGTATTCCAGGAATTATTTTTGATCAGAAGTGTCTTCATCTGTATTTTCCATGTATCGAACTTTTCTTTACACAGTGGTTCTATTCGTAAAGCTAGTTGACTGGCCATTTTTCTTTTGTAGGCTTCATAATTCTATTTTTTTTTAATTCCTGTAATTCTAGTCTTTGATACTTAATTTCTGATCTTGAATTCAGATATGAATTTATATCAAGCAGGCATAAAATAATGTTCTTTTGCATTACAATACTTCCCATACAAATAAAGTTACAACTGAAAAGCTGGCAATTTGAATTCACTGTGTTACCTCACTCCCATACTTTCCTGATTTGGCATCATCACACTATGCATTTTTGACAAGATGAAAAACTTTGTATGGACACAGCTTACAAATTGTGATTTGGTCCCTGCAGTTGTCTTATCAATGGATGTGGGCCACATCAAAAGATCAGTTTATTGAGATGAAGTGAAAATTATCTGAGAGATGGCAAAGATGTATTGATGTTAGTGGAGACTATAGTTAAACAGATGGAAATGTACTTTACTCGATAAAGTTTATCTGATATCCGTAAGTATAATTAAGTATAGTTTCAATCATTTCTGAATGTGCCTCATAAATATAAATGAATAGTCTTCAGTAATGAAAATAAGAACATCAGTTATTATATCCAGAATATATAAAGCTTTAGAAATTTTAAACATCAAATTACTGTTAAATAAAAGTTTAGAAACTAATTTAAATATATTATTTTATTTGAAGTGAATTAATTAAATGGATTTATGCTTATTTATTTTGTGTTAAACAGTTTTATACTATCAGTTAATTGTATTTTCATAGTATTATTAATGTATAACTTTCTTATTTTGTTGTTAATATTATATTCATAGATTAGAAAATTTAAATATGCACTATTTTTAGATGATGAAGCACCTGAAGGCAGTGCTGCTTATCAGAAGATTGGCAATGAAAAAATTACTGTTGGAAAGCTAGATTCTGGAGTATATTTAGATGGTAATGATTTGAAGTTAGTATATAATGCTAATTCCTCAAGCCTACCTTCTGGTTGTACTAAGGACTATCGTGTAGTTATTACTTTTAAGTGTCCTCCAAGAGGAAAGGTATGTATTTTACTTTATATTAAATATTAAGAAATAGATTTTTATAAATTTAATTATTTAATGTTTCAGAGTCGCAATCCAAGGATCGTATTTATTGCAAACTGTCAGTATGATATTGAATGGGAAACAGAATATGCTTGTTCAGAAAAAATCTTAATAGGAAACTTTTCAAAATGTACATTTACTAGCATGACTCATAAAATTGAATTGGATCTTAGTCCTTTAAAGAAAATATCAGGTGAATATTTTAAAGTTAAGATACTGTATTATTTAAAAGTGATAAAATATTCTTTTTGTATTACTCGATGAAAGACAATGGCATAAGAATATTAGAAAATTATAAAACTTTTGTAAAAAAAAAATTCTTTTTTACAAGTTTTTCTTTTTAATGGCCAAATTTTAATATTGATATTAAAGATGTATTGTATGGATGTATATTTATATGTTTCTAAGTGCCAGTTTTATATATTCCTATTAAATTAATTTCATTTATATTAATCTCTCTTAAATGTGCAGAAAATGCCTGGCTACAAATTTCATTTTTTATCTCATTTTACAACTAATTTACTGTTCATTTTATAAGTAGCTCTGATATTTACTTTGAATTAGGCCTTTTAATATAATTAGCCTATTCCAAACAAATAGCTTTCTTATTGTTTCTATAATAGATTATCAAATATATTTATTAAATATTTTTGTTTGTAGTTTTCATAAATATAAAACAACATATGGCCATAATTCTTGGTTTTGAGCTTTTCATTTGTAGATGAAATTATTGTAAATTTTTTATTATTATTTTTGGAAAAAAAATATAGCATGGATATCATAACCTCAGTATATTTTAAGCAATTACAAAACAATTGTTACATGCTAATCTCTATATATTAATTTTGTCAGTATCGTTTGTTAGCAAAATCCTAACTATGTATCATTACATCTGTTTTAAAATGTACAGCATTGATAAAATTTTACATATTATAATTTTAGAATCAATTGAAATAATTCTATAATTTTTATAAAATAATAATTAAAATGAAATATGAATCAAAAACATATGCTATCCATTATTGAAAACTAAATTTTTATCAATAAAATTATCATCAATATTAGAATATGATGGTAACTTGTAACCAAAACTGGAACAATATATTGACAAATTTAGAAAAAAAGCTTTTTTCACTTTCCAGCAGTATTTAATGAGAAAAAAAATTTCAGCATTATTAATAGGCTTTCTTCAGTTTTCAAAAATAAAAAATGGAATGTTCCATATAACATACATTGTAAAAAAAGAATCTCAGATTTAAAATTTCCAATAGCGTTTAGATTGATGTAGCAAACAAGGAAATTAACAAATAATTGTAAATATAAATGAGAAAAATAAAATAAAAATAACAAAAGATTAAAATACATAATTAATAATATATATAAATAAAAAAAAATAGTTAGAAAAATAATATATGAAAAATTTTTACATAAGCAGTCATATAGGATCTACCACTGATAAGCATAGAATTCACCATGCAAACCTCCTGTCTTTTCTTGGTATATGGTACCTTAAAGAAATCACAACATATCTGATAATGAGTACAGTATTCTTATAAGCAATAAGGGAAATTTGCTATCAGAAATTTGTATCTGTGGCTTATTTTTAGAATTTACATTACATGAAACATTTTTTTTTTTAACTGAAGGCAGCTTATTAATAAGGATGATCATTTTTCATCATTAAATACTGCTGGAAAGTGAAAAGATGTTTTATTGTGTAAATTTGTTGACATATTGTTTCAGTTTTGTTTATAAGTTTTGATGATACAGTAGAGAGTCGATTTTCCGAAAGTCAATCATCCAAAATGTCAATCATCCGAAAGAATTCCAGTCGACAAATTTAAATTTTCGCCAGTGCTGTGGCACTTCAATTTTTGGCTATGTCTCGGGCTACTCAAATATTTTACGTTTTTGATACTAAATTAACATCTGAAGTATAATTTTTTATTGTTTTTATATTTTTCAATATATTTATTTTGTTTGTACAAAATAAAAAAATAATTTTTAACGATACAATAGCCTTTGTTAGGCTTAACATCGACGAAAATTCAACGCGAAGCGACACGCGATGGAGAAAAATTTAAACATCGGATACGTTAAACTATTTTTTCGTACATAAATCGGTTATCCGAAATATCAGTTATACGAACAACCCCAGTCCCCAATTGATTCGGAAAATCGACGCTCTACTGTATTTTAATTCTAAATAAATTTCTATTAATTTTTGAAAATTTTATTGTAAAATTCTCTTAAAGATTGATCATAAAAACTTGGATTTTATTTATTTATTCAATAAGATTATCACTTTATTTGTTATACTAACTTTGTTATTTCAAAGTCATTACTCCACTTCAGCATACCATAATGTTGCATTATCATTACACTGCAATCATAATGGTTTATGATGGATTTCTGCAGGTTGAATTCCTTTTATCTAGGAAAAAATAACTGTCGATTTCGTTTTATCCATTTGTAGTTACATTTAGTACATTTGCCATTGCTAAACTGGTAATACTCAAACAAATGAGGTGGGCCTTTGCCTCCACTGGGTGAACATTCTTGTCATATGATGAAGGAAAAAGTACAAACTGACATCATAGCCAGTGCGCTATATGCTTTTCTTTCATTGGAATAAAATAGGGAAACATATTTTTTGACATATGTCAGAAAAATATTTATACATGTATTTTTTATTTATGGATAATATTTTTCTAATTATAAAATTTTGATGTTTGTTTTAGATTATTATTATATAAAAAGTAATGAAACTGCATTTGCATTGAATGTTTGTGGTGGTATTGGATCAAGCATTTCATGTAATAATCGAACGTGGAAAAGTTATTCTGTTTGCATGTTTGATTCAAAGAATAACTCTGAAATTATAGGAACAACAAGAGATGCAGAATTAAGGTAATTATAATTAATTATTTATACATTTTTGACAATAACCAATACTTCTAATAATACTATTTAAAGAGAATATGTAGGCCTATATGTGCAAAAATTATTAGATTTTTAATTCTTAATGTATAAAGGTTTCACTCCAATCTGTATATTATGTTGCAATATGCATTAAACAAATATTGTATATTTAATCCTTTATGTGTATGGGTTTTATGCATGATATGTAGCAAACATGAAATTTCTGCAAATAGTTTATTACTATTCCTTAGACCAGAGTTGTCCAACCTTTTTTCCTAATGGGCCAAGTTAGAAATTGTATATATTCAGCAGGCCACAAAGGTAATTTATATAAATATATGTTTTTAAAAAGTTCAAAATGTGAATATCAAATTTTAATAACAAATATATATTATTACAAAAAATACTGTAATAGCGACAGTAAAAAAAAGAAATTATACTCACACAAAATAAAAATAAATTTGATGCGATTTTTGATATTGCCTTCCTTTTCTAATATTGTCAATATCTGCTTTCATGAGCCTAGTCTTAATTCTAAGAATGTTAGTTTAAAGGGAAACACTCTCTTTAAACTAACACTTCTTTCAGCAGTTTTGATGTTTTTAATGATGTCAAAATGTATCCAGTAAAACGAGAATAAGTTTTATGACATACTTTATCAAAATAAATGAAAATATACCTAAAAATATTTAGGGTGCAGTGGGCTGCATAAAATATTAAGTGAGCCACAGGTTGGACATCCCTGCCTTAGATTATAAAGCTTGAAAAAATTAACAACAATAAAAAAAACAAAAACAAAAAACAAATCTTTCACTAATTTCTGCATATGTATAAAATTTATAGAAAAGTATAAAGTTTAATCAAATATTCAAATAAAAAAATTTATTGTATTCATAATGTGGACTGTGAAATACTTGTACCTGAACATGCTGGGCTTTCATACTCATAAAAACTTTTAGAATCTTATATACCTTATATGAAATTCTAAGTTTTATACATTATAATCAAATAATAAATAATTTATTATTTTCTAGTTTTAAAAAAACTGAAAAAATTAAAACCACATAAATTACTTAAACATAGTGTTGTGTGTAGATACCTAAAATTTCTATATGAAATTTAAAAATTTTGAAAATTTATTAATAAAATAAAAATAATAAACTTTTACTATTTGTACAACTAATGATGATTTGTAGTTTTTATGAATAAGATGATGCAAGATAATTTGATCAGAAGTTTCTGAAGTAATTTTAGATTTATGACTTTTTCTGAAGACATAATCACTATTTGTATGATTTTCAAATGATAAAGAATATGATTTAAAAAGTAATAAATGTAAGAATTATGACATTTCAGTTTAATTTTTAAAATCATCAATTTCACTTTTATAAAATTAATTTATAGAAATTTTTTGTTTCTTCCTTCTTTTTCTGTAAATAGAATTTTAATAATTTTTTATGTTTTTAGAATATAAGGTAAATGCAGAGATGGCATTATTTTAAGCAAGTTATCAGTTAAATATTTATATAATATATTTTTTTTTTACTTTAAACATTTTGTTGTTTTATAAATATTTAACAGTGCAGTATTGGAAAATAGAAGTATTTCAAATTGATTTTTGTTTTTAATATATAACATATAAAAATTTAATTAATTATATTTTATTATCTAATAACTTTGCATATTTTTATTGCTATTAATAGATTTGTTGATGGGCAGATCACCTTGACATATCCCACTCTTAATAATTGTAGTAATACAGGAACTACCAAATTAAGTGTAATTGAATTTGAATGTGATGAAGAAGCAGGTGAGAACTTTTATATATATTTTATTTATTAAAGTCAATCTAAATACTAAAAGATATGAAACATGAAAAATTTTTTAAAATGAAATAAGAAAAAATGTTTTAGTAGTCCATATACAGATGATGCTGTCTGATACTAGCATTATTTTATTTCTTTCATGTCTAAAATATAGTTAGGCTGGAAACTTTAGATGCCTACTATGTAAAATTTAAAAGAAAAACTTTGTGTTAGTTCAAACTTTAAGTTTGAACTATCACACAGTTGTTGTTTTTTTTTTTTTTTAATTTTCATTATCATCTGGCTTCTTGAGGGATGAGTATTGTGAATTATTTCATTATTTTTGTTGTATTACTGTTGATTGTGTTTGTTTAGTTTCTTTACTATTATTACTCAATAATATGGCTACAGGAGTAAAAAGATCAAGCTGTAGCTATAAATTGAAAGTTATAAACTATGTAAAGGAGCATGGTAACAGAGCAGAAGAATGTTTTTATGAGACACCAACCACAGAAAAATATGCATGATTGCTGATTAAATGATTTTTATTGTTTTGTTCATTTAAGTGAGTTTGAATTTAAATTCCAAATATAAACATTTTTATTATCTTAACTAATTGAGATAATTTAAATTATTAAGCATTATTTTAACATCATATCACTCAACTAGTGGTTGTTGCTTTCAGTTCTGTGTCAATAGATTGAATCATTCATTTATGGTTTTCCCATTGTTCTCATGTTGAATGAATTACAAAGTTGCCAGTATGTCTGAAACTGAACTGTTAACTTTTTCAATCCATACTTTAAGCTAGTCTTTTTATATTTCTCTTCAATCAGAGTGATATTTTTTCTAGTCTAGATTAATTTAACTTTTTAACATTCTCATACTCTTTTAATGTTTACATTTCTTGTTGCTATCTCTTAACCCTGTCTAATAATTTCAATTGATTTTTTCCTATCTGAATTACTTACTTTTAATATATTACATTAGTGGTTAAAATTATTCTGTTTTTANAAGATAGGCAAGTAAGTTGTCATGTTTTATTAAATTTAATAATTAGAATTAAATGAATTAAAACATTTATCACAGCAGAAAATTGGTTATTTAGAATAAAATTACATACAAAATATCACAAGAATCAGTAAAAGGAATAAAAAAATTGTCTACAGGAGGAGTCCAACCACCTTTGCTTAATTAGGAACAACAAAGATTCTATGAATGGATATTAAACACCAGGTGTATATGCTATTCTGTTACATGATACTCAAGTGGGATCACTTTTTAGTGTACATCAGAGTGATTCCCAGGAGTCTTGTTTTAAAAGAAAAGGAGAATATACAAGACATCAGTAAGAATTGGTCCAGGATATGTTTTGGACAGTGACATGAGGATCCATTTTGATGAGGCTCATGTATTACAATGGACATCGGATCCCAAATACTTGATATACTTAGAATCACTTCAGATTACAAAACTGTTAAAAACTGGAAGGTGGTCAACTTTAGAGATGAATACACACACACTACAGAATGGAGGGCATGGCATATTTTACACTTCCCTTAGAATTTTAGTAGAACTTTTAGTTTAGTGTTTTATTGTTTTTATTACAATTCAATGTTAAATTTACAAGTTTTAATTTATTGTGATAATGCAGTGCTATTAAAGAATGTAAAGAATGGATGGTAGCATAATTGGCAATGCATTTACACAATAAGCAGAGTTAGGAGTTCAAATTTGCTCCAGATCAAGCTTTTTTTCCAGAAATTTTTTAATTAATTAATTTTAATTCTAATTATTAAATTTCACACAAGATGGCAACTTAATTCCCTACCATTTTATTCTAAATTATGTAATAACTGTTAATACTTAATTAGCCAAATCAAAGCCCAATGATGAATTTAGCTTTATCTGATTATTAACATTGTGTCTCTTTTTATTTTTTAGATGATAATGGTGTTGGTAAGCCCATATTTTATATGGAAAATAACTGCAAGTACATTTTCAAATGGAAGACAAAATATGCATGTTTAACACATCCATATAATAATAATTGTTATATTAATGATGGAAATGTCCAAATAGATCTAGGAGTTTTGACAAAGAAAAATGGTAAGTTTGTAATTCAGTTATTTTTGTTATAAAATAGAAATTAAATATATTTTATTGGGAATAGAAATATTATTANCTATGTATCATTACATCTGTTTTAAAATGTACAGCATTGATAAAATTTTACATATTATAATTTTAGAATCAATTGAAATAATTCTATAATTTTTATAAAATAATAATTAAAATGAAATATGAATCAAAAACATATGCTATCCATTATTGAAAACTAAATTTTTATCAATAAAATTATCATCAATATTAGAATATGATGGTAACTTGTAACCAAAACTGGAACAATATATTGACAAATTTAGAAAAAAAGCTTTTTTCACTTTCCAGCAGTATTTAATGAGAAAAAAAATTTCAGCATTATTAATAGGCTTTCTTCAGTTTTCAAAAATAAAAAATGGAATGTTCCATATAACATACATTGTAAAAAAAGAATCTCAGATTTAAAATTTCCAATAGCGTTTAGATTGATGTAGCAAACAAGGAAATTAACAAATAATTGTAAATATAAATGAGAAAAATAAAATAAAAATAACAAAAGATTAAAATACATAATTAATAATATATATAAATAAAAAAAAATAGTTAGAAAAATAATATATGAAAAATTTTTACATAAGCAGTCATATAGGATCTACCACTGATAAGCATAGAATTCACCATGCAAACCTCCTGTCTTTTCTTGGTATATGGTACCTTAAAGAAATCACAACATATCTGATAATGAGTACAGTATTCTTATAAGCAATAAGGGAAATTTGCTATCAGAAATTTGTATCTGTGGCTTATTTTTAGAATTTACATTACATGAAACATTTTTTTTTTTAACTGAAGGCAGCTTATTAATAAGGATGATCATTTTTCATCATTAAATACTGCTGGAAAGTGAAAAGATGTTTTATTGTGTAAATTTGTTGACATATTGTTTCAGTTTTGTTTATAAGTTTTGATGATACAGTAGAGAGTCGATTTTCCGAAAGTCAATCATCCAAAATGTCAATCATCCGAAAGAATTCCAGTCGACAAATTTAAATTTTCGCCAGTGCTGTGGCACTTCAATTTTTGGCTATGTCTCGGGCTACTCAAATATTTTACGTTTTTGATACTAGATTAATTTATAAAGTATAATTTTTTTTGTTTTTATATTTTTCAATACATTTATTTTGTTTGTAAAAAATAAAGAAATAATTTTTAACGATACAATAGCCACAATTATTATTTTAAAAAGTTTACATTAGGCTTAACATCGATGAAAATTCAACGTGAAATGACATGCAATGGAGAAAAATTTCAACATGGGATAGGTTAAAAAGTGTCTTTATAATTGATGGTAGTGTCTTTCTTTATAACCTTGTAAAGCTCAATGTTTTCTAAATGCCATATATGTGACTTGTGCATTGTCTGATATATGAGTTTTACTTAGTATAGGTGGTCATATAGTGTGGAAGTAACACAAAGGAGATATAAGTAAATAGATTACAATATATAACAATTAAAATCTGTACATGCATGTATTTATGACAGTTTGAATTTTTAATTTAATGTTATGTTCTAGTTTTTTGAATAAACATTCAGTTTTATTTTTTCTAGTCTGATAATGTCCATTTAAAATGTGAAGAAAATGATTGTTTTCATTAAAATAAATATTTTTTTGCTGATTATTTGTGTAGTTGTGTTTATTAGTACATTACATTAGTATTGTAGTAGTGACTGTGTCAATTGAATGATCCCAATTAAAAAACCAACAAACAACAATGTATAGCTTCCCAGGAAAGTTAAAATTAAGCAACTTATTGCAGGAATTTTTTTATTCCATTTTACAACTAATTTACTGTTCATTTTATAAGTAGCTCTGATATTTACTTTGAATTAGGCCTTTTAATATAATTAGCCTATTCCAAACAAATAGCTTTCTTATTGTTTCTATAATAGATTATCAAATATATTTATTAAATATTTTTGTTTGTAGTTTTCATAAATATAAAACAACATATGGCCATAATTCTTGGTTTTGAGCTTTTCATTTGTAGATGAAATTATTGTAAATTTTTTATTATTATTTTTGGAAAAAAAATATAGCATGGATATCATAACCTCAGTATATTTTAAGCAATTACAAAACAATTGTTACATGCTAATCTCTATATATTAATTTTGTCAGTATCGTTTGTTAGCAAAATCCTAACTATGTATCATTACATCTGTTTTAAAATGTACAGCATTGATAAAATTTTACATATTATAATTTTAGAATCAATTGAAATAATTCTATAATTTTTATAAAATAATAATTAAAATGAAATATGAATCAAAAACATATGCTATCCATTATTGAAAACTAAATTTTTATCAATAAAATTATCATCAATATTAGAATATGATGGTAACTTGTAACCAAAACTGGAACAATATATTGACAAATTTAGAAAAAAAGCTTTTTTCACTTTCCAGCAGTATTTAATGAGAAAAAAAATTTCAGCATTATTAATAGGCTTTCTTCAGTTTTCAAAAATAAAAAATGGAATGTTCCATATAACATACATTGTAAAAAAAGAATCTCAGATTTAAAATTTCCAATAGCGTTTAGATTGATGTAGCAAACAAGGAAATTAACAAATAATTGTAAATATAAATGAGAAAAATAAAATAAAAATAACAAAAGATTAAAATACATAATTAATAATATATATAAATAAAAAAAAATAGTTAGAAAAATAATATATGAAAAATTTTTACATAAGCAGTCATATAGGATCTACCACTGATAAGCATAGAATTCACCATGCAAACCTCCTGTCTTTTCTTGGTATATGGTACCTTAAAGAAATCACAACATATCTGATAATGAGTACAGTATTCTTATAAGCAATAAGGGAAATTTGCTATCAGAAATTTGTATCTGTGGCTTATTTTTAGAATTTACATTACATGAAACATTTTTTTTTTTAACTGAAGGCAGCTTATTAATAAGGATGATCATTTTTCATCATTAAATACTGCTGGAAAGTGAAAAGATGTTTTATTGTGTAAATTTGTTGACATATTGTTTCAGTTTTGTTTATAAGTTTTGATGATACAGTAGAGAGTCGATTTTCCGAAAGTCAATCATCCAAAATGTCAATCATCCGAAAGAATTCCAGTCGACAAATTTAAATTTTCGCCAGTGCTGTGGCACTTCAATTTTTGGCTATGTCTCGGGCTACTCAAATATTTTACGTTTTTGATACTAAATTAACATCTGAAGTATAATTTTTTATTGTTTTTATATTTTTCAATATATTTATTTTGTTTGTACAAAATAAAAAAATAATTTTTAACGATACAATAGCCTTTGTTAGGCTTAACATCGACGAAAATTCAACGCGAAGCGACACGCAACGGAGAAAAATTTAAACATCGGATACGTTAAACTATTTTTTCGTACATAAATCGGTTATCCGAAATATCAGTTATACGAACAACCCCAGTCCCCAATTGATTCGGAAAATCGACGCTCTACTGTATTTTAATTCTAAATAAATTTCTATTAATTTTTGAAAATTTTATTGTAAAATTCTCTTAAAGATTGATCATAAAAACTTGGATTTTATTTATTTATTCAATAAGATTATCACTTTATTTGTTATACTAACTTTGTTATTTCAAAGTCATTACTCCACTTCAGCATACCATAATGTTGCATTATCATTACACTGCAATCATAATGGTTTATGATGGATTTCTGCAGGTTGAATTCCTTTTATCTAGGAAAAAATAACTGTCGATTTCGTTTTATCCATTTGTAGTTACATTTAGTACATTTGCCATTGCTAAACTGGTAATACTCAAACAAATGAGGTGGGCCTTTGCCTCCACTGGGTGAACATTCTTGTCATATGATGAAGGAAAAAGTACAAACTGACATCATAGCCAGTGCGCTATATGCTTTTCTTTCATTGGAATAAAATAGGGAAACATATTTTTTGACATATGTCAGAAAAATATTTATACATGTATTTTTTATTTATGGATAATATTTTTCTAATTATAAAATTTTGATGTTTGTTTTAGATTATTATTATACAAAAAGTAATGAAACTGCATTTGCATTGAATGTTTGTGGTGGTATTGGATCAAGCATTTCATGTAATAATCGAACGTGGAAAAGTTATTCTGTTTGCATGTTTGATTCAAAGAATAACTCTGAAATTATAGGAACAACAAGAGATGCAGAATTAAGGTAATTATAATTAATTATTTATACATTTTTGACAATAACCAATACTTCTAATAATACTATTTAAAGAGAATATGTAGGCCTATATGTGCAAAAATTATTAGATTTTTAATTCTTAATGTATAAAGGTTTCACTCCAATCTGTATATTATGTTGCAATATGCATTAAACAAATATTGTATATTTAATCCTTTATGTGTATGGGTTTTATGCATGATATGTAGCAAACATGAAATTTCTGCAAATAGTTTATTACTATTCCTTAGACCAGAGTTGTCCAACCTTTTTTCCTAATGGGCCAAGTTAGAAATTGTATATATTCAGCAGGCCACAAAGGTAATTTATATAAATATATGTTTTTAAAAAGTTCAAAATGTGAATATCAAATTTTAATAACAAATATATATAATTACAAAAAATACTGTATTGTTATCCAGAATATATAAAGCTTTAGAAATTTTAAACATCAAATTACTGTTAAATAAAAGTTTAGAAACTAATTTAAATATATTATTTTATTTGAAGTGAATTAATTAAATGGATTTATGCTTATTTATTTTGTGTTAAACAGTTTNAATTAGTTAAGATGATGATATACTGTTTATGAAAAATTTCAATAATTTTTAAATAAATTTCAGGACCTTGGAATGTAGTTAATACTTTAGATAAAGGAAAAAGTAGTTTTCTTCTAAATGTATGTTCTGAGATACCGAGTTTTAATAATAGCTGTGAACCTGGATCTGCTATTTGTAAAATAGGTATGTGTATATAAATTTAGATACTATTCCAGAATAAAAAAATTAAATTTAGTATGTATTTAAAAGCAGCTATATCATTGATGAACTTGTGCTTATCATTGGAAAAAATTCAATAATAATAAAAGAATAGCCACTTTCTAAAGTAGTATTTAAAATAGTGTTTAAGAAAATTTACATTATTGCATTAAAACATAAAATAATGAAAGAAATATATTATCTAACTAAATGATTAACATTTGAAAAGTCTAAAATTTGTTCTGAAAAAATTTTTAATTGTATTAAAAAATTTTGTTTTAATTTTTTTGTATTTGAAAAATCTGATTTTATATTTTTCTATATTGCAAAATTTTTTTTATTCTGAAATTCACTAACTATTTACAGAATACAAATATTTGAAAATAATAAAGTTTAAATGTAATTTTTTATTATTTTCTGTTTTCAGAATCTTAATTACAAATGTCATAATTGCAATACAGTATATTTAATGTAATATTTTATATTTATTTTTGGAAAATTATTTTCTAAAATACAATTTTAAAAACAAAATACATGGTGTCTAAAAGAGAACTGACAGATTATGAATAGTATTATGTATTTAAAGAAAACATCAACACACATAGTTTTCAGTAATTGTCAATGAAACTTAAAATGTTTTTTTTCCTTGCATAACTAAGACACAGGGTGCTATTGTTGCTGCAGGTAGAACTTTTGAATGAAATTTTTCGATGGGCTTAGATGGATCAATTCAGTTTCTATCTCACTAATATAATCTCTCTGAATCCCACCAGTGGCCAAGTGGTCTTTGTTCCCGGAACACTGGGAGTTTGGTTATGGGTTCATGCCTCACTTGGATGGGCTGGCCATGTGGAGTTTTCTGGATTTTCTCCACATATGCCTAAATAGTGGCCAGTTTCCCTTAAAAGACCTCTGGGAAGGCATTCCCCTAGGCAGATTGCCCAAGTGTTGCATTGCCATAAGTTAACAACAACAATATAATCTCTCATAACTTTTTCTTGTGGGGTTTATCAAACACCTGTTACAGATATTGAAACATTAAAAGATTAATAATACAAGACATGTTTTGATTGCATAATAAATGTAATCAGAACTGTCACACAAGACATGTTAGGTATTTGGAGAAACACTCAGAGAGGAATTGAATTATTGTTTTGATATTGTGAGAGTAACACCTGATGTGCACACAGATTTCTTGAAGATGAGAAATTTTTTCAGTTTGTGTACTAATTAGGACAAATAATATGGCTGTATCTATTTTCCTAAAATAAATACAAGTGTCAGTAATCCATCAGATCTTTTTTAAACAACCTGTATTGCATATTTTTTATTTATTTATCATTTATCTGTTTATCCTTTGGCATTAAAAAATTATATAAAAATAGTTGTAATTGCAGTTCAATATTGATATACACTAATACTCCGAACTTACGCGATAGGTGGGACCGAGCGATAACAACATAAGTTGGGGTATAATTTCGCAATTTGTGTAAAATCCAAGTCGGATGTATGTAATCTAATAAATGTTCTCATTAATCTTATCTCGTCTTTTGATTCGTTCATGGTTACAAGAAATCACCACGTAGTGTCTCTCAAGTCTCCGTAGATATAACAAACACAGAAANTTCAGTTTTTGTTTTTTTTTTTTTTTAATTTTCATTATCATCTGGCTTCTTGAGGGATGAGTATTGTGAATTATTTCATTATTTTTGTTGTATTACTGTTGATTGTGTTTGTTTAGTTTCTTTACTATTATTACTCAATAATATGGCTACAGGAGTAAAAAGATCAAGCTGTAGCTATAAATTGAAAGTTATAAACTATGTAAAGGAGCATGGTAACAGAGCAGAAGAATGTTTTTATGAGACACCAACCACAGAAAAATATGCATGATTGCTGATTAAATGATTTTTATTGTTTTGTTCATTTAAGTGAGTTTGAATTTAAATTCCAAATATAAACATTTTTATTATCTTAACTAATTGAGATAATTTAAATTATTAAGCATTATTTTAACATCATATCACTCAACTAGTGGTTGTTGCTTTCAGTTCTGTGTCAATAGATTGAATCATTCATTTATGGTTTTCCCATTGTTCTCATGTTGAATGAATTACAAAGTTGCCAGTATGTCTAAAACTGAACTGTTAACTTTTTCAATCCATACTTTAAGCTAGTCTTTTTATATTTCTCTTCAATCAGAGTGATATTTTTTCTAGTCTAGATTAATTTAACTTTTTAACATTCTCATACTCTTTTAATGTTTACATTTCTTGTTGCTATCTCTTAACCCTGTCTAATAATTTCAATTGATTTTTTCCTATCTGAATTACTTACTTTTAATATATTACATTAGTGGTTAAAATTATTCTGTTTTTATTAAATTGTGGAAAAAATTTATATATTATATTTTTTACTTTCCTGGCTCTGTTATATACAACAGAGGGAAAGTATGGTGATTGGTCAAAAAATGACCCTCAAGATTTTTACATTTTTGGACTGTAGACCTTGAGATGTCCAGAAATGCAAAAAAAAAAGGGGTGGTTTCAAACAATGTGTGAATGTTAGTGTGTATGTGTATCGGGGCATAATTTTGTTTACTCTCTTTGAAGTTTAATAACTGTGATTTTTGTCAAACATTTTTGAAATTTTGCAGGGAGGTTTGTGTCTTAGGGAGATTGATGCTATTAAATTTTGGTGGTTGAAGGTTGACAGGGTGGAGAGATAAAGGGGAGTTGTGTATCATATCTCAAGTAGGGTTGGACTTAATTAATGAAGATTTTATTTATTATTAGTATTTATAACTTTTTATAAAACCTTCCCTAGCCTCAAAATTAAGCTTTTTATCATTTTATAATAGTTAAAAATATAAAAGATTTTTAAATAAAATATTATAATAGATGACACCACAAACACAGTTTTAAATGTTCCCAGGAAAGTTAAAATTAAGCAACTTATTGCAGGAATTTTTTTATTCCATTTAAGATTCATGTCTTTTGTACCTAAAATTTCTTTGAAAATAAGGATTTTTGCTATAAGTTAAATGTGATTCATACTCTACAAAGAATATTTTTTTCTTCTGAAACTTCAACATGTAAAATTTGATACATCCAAGGCTAAATATAAACGTATGGTAATTTTCTGTTATGAGAATCATTTAATATTCCTTTTTATATTACTGTACTTAACAAAAGGTTGCAATCACCTGCCTTTTTAATTCAAATGTAGTATGTTTGGCTGATTAAATTATCTTTGATGATATTTCATGAATTTGTTATTAATCTTATTCTTCTACATCAGTTTAAAGAATGACTGATGACTGCAACTTTTTGTCATATGTAGTACATCTGATACTGAAATTTGTTATGTATTTGAAAAATTAAAACAAATTATTTAAAGATTTAAGCAGTTTTGACTCAACATTTCTCAGTACTTAGTCAATATAGCAATTTCTAATTCTGTTCTATGTTTCACATATATATAAAAGACTCGAAATTCGATTATATATAAACAAATTATTTAAAGATTGAAGCAGTTTTGACTCAACATTTCTCAGTACTTAGTCAATATAGCAATTTCTAATTCTGTTCTATGTTTCACATATATATAGAGAGAGAGACCTGCTCATTTCTTAAAGTAGAATCTTTTTTTTGAAAAACTCCATTGGAAAAATATAGAATTATTTTATGGCATATTTAAAATATTTATTCAAGAAAAATTATAAATTAAAATGAAAATAAAAATATATTTTTATATAATTAATAAGTAAATATAATGAAAAATATGTTACCAATAACGTTCACAATATATTGATGTATTCTAATAATATAGTATTCGTTTGGGAAATTTTCAATNTAGAAAACCAAGCCCAAATTATATATTAATAATTAAATGATAAAGCCAGATTCATTTGCAGGCTAATAAAATATATAAATGATATGTAATTTGGACTAAAGATAGGCAAGTAAGTTGTCATGTTTTATTAAATTTAATAATTAGAATTAAATGAATTAAAACATTTATCACAGCAGAAAATTGGTTATTTAGAATAAAATTACATACAAAATATCACAAGAATCAGTAAAAGGAATAAAAAAATTGTCTACAGGAGGAGTCCAACCACCTTTGCTTAATTAGGAACAACAAAGATTCTATGAATGGATATTAAACACCAGGTGTATATGCTATTCTGTTACATGATACTCAAGTGGGATCACTTTTTAGTGTACATCAGAGTGATTCCCAGGAGTCTTGTTTTAAAAGAAAAGGAGAATATACAAGACATCAGTAAGAATTGGTCCAGGATATGTTTTGGACAGTGACATGAGGATCCATTTTGATGAGGCTCATGTATTACAATGGACATCGGATCCCAAATACTTGATATACTTAGAATCACTTCAGATTACAAAACTGTTAAAAACTGGAAGGTGGTCAACTTTAGAGATGAATACACACACACTACAGAATGGAGGGCATGGCATATTTTACACTTCCCTTAGAATTTTAGTAGAACTTTTAGTTTAGTGTTTTATTGTTTTTATTACAATTCAATGTTAAATTTACAAGTTTTAATTTATTGTGATAATGCAGTGCTATTAAAGAATGTAAAGAATGGATGGTAGCATAATTGGCAATGCATTTACACAATAAGCAGAGTTAGGAGTTCAAATTTGCTCCAGATCAAGCTTTTTTTCCAGAAATTTTTTAATTAATTAATTTTAATTCTAATTATTAAATTTCACACAAGATGGCAACTTAATTCCCTACCATTTTATTCTAAATTATGTAATAACTGTTAATACTTAATTAGCCAAATCAAAGCCCAATGATGAATTTAGCTTTATCTGATTATTAACATTGTGTCTCTTTTTATTTTTTAGATGATAATGGTGTTGGTAAGCCCATATTTTATATGGAAAATAACTGCAAGTACATTTTCAAATGGAAGACAAAATATGCATGTTTAACACATCCATATAATAATAATTGTTATATTAATGATGGAAATGTCCAAATAGATCTAGGAGTTTTGACAAAGAAAAATGGTAAGTTTGTAATTCAGTTATTTTTGTTATAAAATAGAAATTAAATATATTTTATTGATGACTGATTAAATCATTACAATTTTAATATATTCTAATAATTGGAAAAATATTTATGAAGAACAGACTAGTTATTATAAATATTATTGTTTACATAATATACAATAAAGATACAATATGTACTAAATATTAATTTATTTATTTCTCTAAAGTAATATATTATTATCCATATCTACTCTAAACATTATATATTTTTCTTATGTTTTTTAAATTTGTACCCATAAAAAAGATAAAAAGAAATTGGTAAAGTGAATTATAGTAATTGAGATAAAGATTATACTAATTAAAAACATCAACCAACGTCTTAATTCACTAATGAACAAATGTTTTCAGCCTTTCACAAAAGCCATCATTAGGTTCTAAAGATGGAACATAAATTTTAATAGAAAACAAAATTCAAATGTAACTGCCCTTTCTTTGTCAAACTCAGTTTATATTTAATAATTACTTTTTAACACCTGAGTATATAACATGTCTATTCAGTTGCATTTGAATTTTGTTTTCTATTCTAATTTATGTTCTGTCTCTAAAGATGAAAAAGGTTGAAAACATTTGTTAATCATTAAATTTTTGTTCTTTTCTGGATTAAGGTGTGGTTTGGAGTTTTTTAATATTAAAAACATCTACAGTAGAGCGTCGTTTATCTGAAAGCCAGTTATCCAAAACGTCGGTTAACCAAAAGCATTCCAGTCGGCAAATTTAAATTTTCGCTAGTGCTGTGGCGCTGCAATCTTTGGCTATATCTTGGGCTACTCCAATACTTTTTTTGTTTGTGTGTGTGTTTTAGCTGGCAGCACTGAGAGATTTGTGTGATATTTTTCTGAGGACTGTGTGTCGTGCTGAATCGAACGTTTTTGATACTAGATCAACTTCTAAAGTATAATTTGTTTTGTTTTTATATTTTACAATATATTTATTTTGTTTGTAAAAAATAAAGAAATAATTTTTAACGATACAATAGCCACAATTATTATTTTAAAAAGTTTACATTAGGCTTAACATCGATGAAAATTCAACGTGAAATGACATGCAATGGAGAAAAATTTCAACATGGGATAGGTTAAAAAGTGTCTTTATAATTGATGGTAGTGTCTTTCTTTATAACCTTGTAAAGCTCAATGTTTTCTAAATGCCATATATGTGACTTGTGCATTGTCTGATATATGAGTTTTACTTAGTATAGGTGGTCATATAGTGTGGAAGTAACACAAAGGAGATATAAGTAAATAGATTACAATATATAACAATTAAAATCTGTACATGCATGTATTTATGACAGTTTGAATTTTTAATTTAATGTTATGTTCTAGTTTTTTGAATAAACATTCAGTTTTATTTTTTCTAGTCTGATAATGTCCATTTAAAATGTGAAGAAAATGATTGTTTTCATTAAAATAAATATTTTTTTGCTGATTATTTGTGTAGTTGTGTTTATTAGTACATTACATTAGTATTGTAGTAGTGACTGTGTCAATTGAATGATCCCAATTAAAAAACCAATAAACAACAATGTATAGCTGAAATGAGATTTGAATGATTTGAGAAATGATAAATAAGAAAAGATTTCTTGAAATTCAAAATATTTATCATAAATATTAAAATTGATGTTCATTATTATTAAAATATAACTGATTCATTAAATTAGTTAAGATGATGATATACTGTTTATGAAAAATTTCAATAATTTTTAAATAAATTTCAGGACCTTGGAATGTAGTTAATACTTTAGATAAAGGAAAAAGTAGTTTTCTTCTAAATGTATGTTCTGAGATACCGAGTTTTAATAATAGCTGTGAACCTGGATCTGCTATTTGTAAAATAGGTATGTGTATATAAATTTAGATACTATTCCAGAATAAAAAAATTAAATTTAGTATGTATTTAAAAGCAGCTATATCATTGATGAACTTGTGCTTATCATTGGAAAAAATTCAATAATAATAAAAGAATAGCCACTTTCTAAAGTAGTATTTAAAATAGTGTTTAAGAAAATTTACATTATTGCATTAAAACATAAAATAATGAAAGAAATATATTATCTAACTAAATGATTAACATTTGAAAAGTCTAAAATTTGTTCTGAAAAAATTTTTAATTGTATTAAAAAATTTTGTTTTAATTTTTTTGTATTTGAAAAATCTGATTTTATATTTTTCTATATTGCAAAATTTTTTTTATTCTGAAATTCACTAACTATTTACAGAATACAAATATTTGAAAATAATAAAGTTTAAATGTAATTTTTTATTATTTTCTGTTTTCAGAATCTTAATTACAAATGTCATAATTGCAATACAGTATATTTAATGTAATATTTTATATTTATTTTTGGAAAATTATTTTCTAAAATACAATTTTAAAAACAAAATACATGGTGTCTAAAAGAGAACTGACAGATTATGAATAGTATTATGTATTTAAAGAAAACATCAACACACATAGTTTTCAGTAATTGTCAATGAAACTTAAAATGTTTTTTTTCCTTGCATAACTAAGACACAGGGTGCTATTGTTGCTGCAGGTAGAACTTTTGAATGAAATTTTTCGATGGGCTTAGATGGATCAATTCAGTTTCTATCTCACTAATATAATCTCTCTGAATCCCACCAGTGGCCAAGTGGTCTTTGTTCCCGGAACACTGGGAGTTTGGTTATGGGTTCATGCCTCACTTGGATGGGCTGGCCATGTGGAGTTTTCTGGATTTTCTCCACATATGCCTAAATAGTGGCCAGTTTCCCTTAAAAGACCTCTGGGAAGGCATTCCCCTAGGCAGATTGCCCAAGTGTTGCATTGCCATAAGTTAACAACAACAATATAATCTCTCATAACTTTTTCTTGTGGGGTTTATCAAACACCTGTTACAGATATTGAAACATTAAAAGATTAATAATACAAGACATGTTTTGATTGCATAATAAATGTAATCAGAACTGTCACACAAGACATGTTAGGTATTTGGAGAAACACTCAGAGAGGAATTGAATTATTGTTTTGATATTGTGAGAGTAACACCTGATGTGCACACAGATTTCTTGAAGATGAGAAATTTTTTCAGTTTGTGTACTAATTAGGACAAATAATATGGCTGTATCTATTTTCCTAAAATAAATACAAGTGTCAGTAATCCATCAGATCTTTTTTAAACAACCTGTATTGCATATTTTTTATTTATTTATCATTTATCTGTTTATCCTTTGGCATTAAAAAATTATATAAAAATAGTTGTAATTGCAGTTCAATATTGATATACACTAATACTCCGAACTTACGCGATAGGTGGGACCGAGCGATAACAACATAAGTTGGGGTATAATTTCGCAATTTGTGTAAAATCCAAGTCGGATGTATGTAATCTAATAAATGTTCTCATTAATCTTATCTCGTCTTTTGATTCGTTCATGGTTACAAGAAATCACCACGTAGTGTCTCTCAAGTCTCCGTAGATATAACAAACACAGAAATAAATAACACAAAATAAATTGTAGCTATGTATCGATTCTGCGCAACATGTCTGAACATGTAAGCCGAACAATAGTGTGGGGGGAGTGAGTAATCAAGAGTTGCATGGCGCTCAAACAAAAGACGAATTGACGAGGTTTGAAAATTGCGTAACTCCGGGTTCGTGTAAGTTGAGGTATTACTGTATATTAATACTCTTAAAATTTGTCATAGAGTTTTTATGTAAATATGTTTATTTATTTATGAATTACATTAAATTTTGTTTACTTTTTCTTAAGAAATTAAAAATATTTATGAAATTTAGATGAAAATGGTAAAGCCATCTCTCTTGGAAAATCTGTTTCACCTCCTAAATACAACAAAAAATTTAAAACAGTAGAGTTAATATATGAAAATGGACAATTATGTGAAGGAGGACATTATTCAACTCGCATCACTCTCTACTGTAAACCTGGTATGTATTTTTATTCATTTTTTATTAGGAAATAAAATATTACTTTTTATAAAAGAAAGATTTAGAAACGTTGTAAAATAATATAAATTCTAAAATTAGATTATATATTTGCAATATTCTTCTAATCGTATATTTAAAATTATGTAAAAAATAATTTTTTTTTACTTTCTGAGTGATTATTTCCTTTCTAAAATCTTTTAGAATGGCAGACATTTAATTTACCTTTGCTGCCTCAGCTATCTGGTTGCTTTGTTTAGATTTTTGAATAATTTAGCAAGAATTCATTAAAAATTTGACAAGTTCATTGGGATTGTTGATTGAAAAAATTAATAATTTTTTTTAAATACAGTGTCTGATCTGTACAGACCTGGAAAGTCAGGGAATAAGATTTTTAGGAGAAAAAGTCAGGGAATGGCATCAAATGTCGGAAAGTCACAATTCGCAAATATTGCAGAATCCATCTGCCATTCTCACTCCTTTTTGATTCGACTACGTCTTTAAATTTGGTTTGGTATAAGGAGAGTCTACAAAAACTGGAGTGACTGAAAGAATGGCAAGATTCATCTTTTATCTTGTAAACTATAAATGATAATCTAACAATTAAAATTTTGTTGGATAGAGGATTTATGTTCGTATTTAAAATGGTGTATAGTGGGAGTGTGCATCTGTGAGGGGGGGGTTTGTGTTGCGCATGAACACTGAAAATGGTGCTATCGCACAGCATTTGGGCAGTATAACTTTGGATCGCAAAGAGATAGGGCATTGAAATTGGTGTTAATTTGTACAGAATGACAAGGTCAATATTACTTAGCAATAATAACTGATAAAATTGGATTTGACAAGTTATAAGCCAATAAGTGTGCGAGTTGAAGAAAATTTTTATAATATCAAAGAAATTGCAAAGGAAATATGAACAGAAAAGTAGGAAATATGTTTTCGACCTATTCCATAGGCCATCGTCAGGTTGAAAATGGACAATTGGAAGATTTTGTTCCACAAGATCGAATACAAATATTTAAATTTAAAAAAAACTGACAACAGGTTTAAAAAATAATATACTAGTAAAGTATAAAAATATATATAATAAAGACAAAGAATAAAATAAAAATAAACTCAGAAATACTATTAAATATAAGTATCAACTAATACAATAAAATAAAATTAATGTGTAAATTATGGGTTCCTGGTAGATTTTTTAATAATATACTTCCAGGCTGATGGAAGGCCTTCCGTGTCCCTCTCATTAATACAAGTCTCTTCTAGTTTGCTCTTATAAATTTCTATTTTTTCAGTGGTCCTTGCTAATGTTGGGGATCTCACTGGTTTGATAATGTCCGCATCATCCCATTTAACTACCAAACTTTGTGCCTGAGCCATCTGGGATAGTACCGTCGTGTTCAAACTTTTTTTGATGTTATACTTGTGCTCCTTTAAAATTTAAATATAAAATCGTGGAACATAATTTAAAATACAAAAAACGCATGTAACATATAAAAAGATGCATGTAAAGAAGCCAATGCGTATGTGCCTTGAATCACATAGGAGATGCGGGAAATGAGTGTAGAATTATTGTTGATTTTTTAAACGCCTGTATAAATTAATCCAGATGTCCGGTAAGTTGAGGGTAGGGGAGTTGCATGGGAAGAGCAGTTTTGTGAGGAGGGCCTCCCAAATATATAGCAAGCTCCCTTCATCACAATGTTTTGAGTATTGCCACCAGATTCCAAAGTGCTATGTGGTGATGATGTACCTCCAATTTGGAAAGTTTAGTGTCGCAATTGCTAAGTGCCACCGAACCATTGTTGGTGTTCAGATATGCGAGCAGCCAGCATTCTGGCAGTCGCTCCTATATAATAGGTGAATAGTCCTGATATTGGATTCTGCAGGGGAATGGAGTATACACCAGATTTTTCCAGGGTGAAAGTAGCATCTCTATCATTACACAAGATTCATTGCAAACATGATAGTGGGGCAATGGGTAAACAAAAACCATTTTGCCTAAAGATCCGGCAGTGAAGCGTCCACAGTATGGGAGTGAGGGACGGAGCATTGTTCAATCCCTTCATCTGCACAATGTGCAGGGAAGAGAGACTGTATAATGCTGTTTTTGACATGGATGTACTTGGAAGAACTAAATCCAGCCCCGTATACCACTGTGCAGACGGCCTCCAGTTCAGTATTGATAAGATGATGTGTCAATGGTAGTAAGAATTCCCATCTGATCAAGAGAACTATGGCCGCATTAACATATTGCTGTGGTTGACAGGCTGTGGCCTTTAGTCTTACACTCAAATTCCTTGTGTAATGCCGATATAATCTTTCCTAATCACCAGCTGTGTGTTTTCGTTTGGTATCCTACACCTGCTTTTTTCTTCCTTCCTAATGCTATCCTTGTCATTTCTTAAATTTTATATAGATTCGGGGTTCTTTCTATATTGTGACAGCGCTATGGACAGAGCAAAGGAAATTGACAGAATTCTACAAGTAACTGAAACCTTAAGCTTATTCACACTGAACGTGATTTGCTAGTGAAAGTGAAAAACAGAGCGAATAACATGTAAGACATGATGTCATTTCCGGTGAATTTTACCATTTTGTGAATCGCTTCGAAGTTCGGAACTGTCAAGCTTTTTCGCTAGCAAAAAAATTTTGCACCAGTTGTATTCCAGCTAGTTGTCATGTGGTTCTTGTTGTTTTCAAGATGGCTACAGAAACTTTCTCACGCAATAGATTACATGTTGTAATTACGGATTTTAATATTTCTCTCACCCAGCATCGTGTTCTTTTTGACTTATTTTTCTTTCTCAATAAATAAATAAACAAATGTGGTTAACGACAGAATATTGAAAGTGGCCATTTTGTTTTTTGAGATGACGTTTACACTCACTTGCAAATGATTGGCAGCTTAAAATTTGCAATTGCTTTTTGCTTTTGGTTGTAGGGTCAATTTCGCTAAGCAAATAAAAATCGCTTTTCACTTTTTACATTCCCTTTTGCTATTCGCTCAGTGTGAACTAAGCTTTAGGGTACATAAAAGACACAATAACAGGAATTGTTAGAAGATGCGAGAAGAGCATAAAAAGGGGCTCAATACAAGGTCCCAGTAAAATCACAAAATTCACTTATAACAGATATGCCGAAAGCATTATGAAAGAAACTGTGGACAGCAAAGGATCAACAATAATTCTAAAAAGTGCCCTGATTATATCGGCATTACAACAAGGAATTTGAGTGTAAGACTAAAGGAGCACAAGTACTCAAAACTTCACTGCTCTCATTATGAGTTTCAGGGGAAAATGGGAAGAAATGTAATGACCATGAATGGATTCATACTGGATCAAAATTAGCACACAATGTGTGATTTGTTCCTCTCATGGAGTGTGTGATTTATTCTGCTTAAATTATTTTGAATTTCCTGCCTCCTCGCTTTAAGAAAATTCAATTTTACAATACAAATTGAGTCTTTTTCTTATTTAAATAAAATTTACAAACTAATGTAAATAAAATCACAAAATTTTTTGTGCTGTAGAAATGATGTAGCCAATTACATAATCGATTTTATGCCAAGTTTTTCAGTTTTTGTAATTGAATAAAGTGTTTTTAATAAAAAATGTATGTAATTGTGTGCAAAATGGGCTTAAATAGAATTGGCTGAATATTACCTAATGGAAAGGGGAAATGCAGGGACCTGAATAGGTCAGGAAATAATGTCATAATTGGTCAGGGTAAGTGAAGGAATCACAGATGGAATTACCTGTATGGACCCTGTAAATATATAATCTTTCATTAAACATTGTTTTTAAGTAATATTATTATTTTGATAACATTTTCTTGGAGCTATTATATTTCATCTAATAATTATTACTGGAAAAATAATAGGAATTTGGGAAAGATGTTAATGTAACATGTAAGTGAAGTTTTTTTAAACTTCACTTACATGTTACATGTTACATTACATGTTCGTAGTTCACACAATTGGTAATCAACTCGGTGCGCCAATAACATTAACAAAGTTCAGATAGTTCAATATGCTGAATGGTTCGTCGAGAAGACACCTTACGACGAAGCGACAAGTTGTTGGCTAGAAGTAACCTTCTGGCGGTTGAAGAACAGACAGCGAGACAAATCCAGACTTGACTCAAGCTTTCATGCACACTTGAAGATCTACAATGAACTTGATGTATATCCTGAAGTTCCAAAGCAAACTTCTCGAAGTTCCCATGTTGAAGTGAACTTAAATCTCCCACTTCGACATTAACCCTTTTATAGCCATCGACAGCGGGTTGGACGACCAGTCAGCGATTACTTGGCCGTAGCTTTATGCAAATATGCAGTGTGGTGTGATCCTCGACCAGTCAGTGATTAGCTGCTCTGTCAGAGGTCCACTGGTGGTGTGATGATCTGCTGACCAATCAGCGGCCATGCATTCAAAATCCAATTATCACTTCCTCAACAGTTTTTTGTGACAGCGACCGTTACCAGGTAAAAAAGGCGGGAATCATGTTCTTACATGATCCTATCCTGACAATGTAATATTAAATGTCTTGAGTTATGGAAATAGATATTTTCAATATAAAGATATAAGAATATATGTTGCCAGTTTCTTGGCTTAAAAAACACAGTACTTGTAGTTTGTTTTAGAAATTGTCATTTTTGATTTTACAGTTTATATTATATTAAGCTTTTATATGTAAAAAAATATCAGTAATTAATATAATTTTAATTGCTATTCATACAGTTTTAGGTTAAAAAATTTCTTTTATAATTTTGTACTAATATAAATTATATCTATAAATGAGCTAAAAATTAGCTTCTTGTACTTTGCACAAAATATTTTCATAAATATTTCCAGACTCAATCAAAATATAAAACATTAAAATCTGTCTTCTTTTTTATTGATAGTTATGAGATGAGTTATCAGATCAAATAAATAATCAATCCTTAATCAATTTTTTTTAAAGAGTAATTCTTAAATTATTTTTACAAGAATAATTAAAAAAACAAGATTTATAATATACAAACATTTTAATTTTTCTGCTGTGATAGATATTTTCTTCAATTTTTTTACATGTATTTTGAATTTCATTAAATGTTTGTTCTTCATGCTTATTAATAAAAAAAAGCCACACGAACTCAAAATCAAGTTAGACAGGTCAAAGGCGACGGGATATGCTTCCGCACAGACACACACGAGGAGGCGGAAGTACTCTCAGAGGCAATCAATAAACTCCCGGAGATTTCTAGTAAGGTGAAAAGTAAGATCTCAGAAGGGAGAAGGCCCAGATTAATCCTTACAAATGTACCAAAATCAGTCAACGAGACTGAATTAACATCCATAATAATTGAACAAAACGAAAACCTCCCAATCTCCAATGACGAATTTATAAAATCGACCCGTATCAGCACCATACTCAATAGGAATAACGCAAAAGAGAATTGTCGCCATATCGTCCTTTCCACCACACCTAAAATAAGAAACATAATGGTAGGCACAAAGCACGTAGCCATAGGATGGGCTAAGATACAAGTAAACGACTACATCCCTCTGGTCAGATGTTTTCAATGCTGTGGATTTAACCATATCTCCACCGACTGTACCAAAAACCAGAAGTGCAGTCATTGTAATAAAGGGCACAGGTTTGGTGAATGTCAAAGGCTAGAAGAACCCCCTTGCTGCACAAACTGTAGAACAGCAAACAAAGACCTACCAGAACAGGAAAAGTATAACACGGAGCATAATGCTTTTAACCCACAATGCCCTGTCACCATTCGCATGAAGGCACTGACCATTAGACAAACGAATTATGGAGTGTAACAAAATATCAAACACCTTGAGGATTCTACAAGCGAACTTACAAAAATGTAAAGCCGCCGCTTCTGATGCAATACAACTTGCGGCCACAAGGCATACGGACATCTTGGCCATACAAGAGCCTTATACCTACCACAATAAAATCGCAATGTTCGGCTCCAATCGCATACTTAACCATGGTGATAGGAGTGGCAATCCTCCTAAGACCGGCTTCATAATCTTTAATGACAAGCTTGACGTTCAACTCATCACTCAGCATAGCAACGAATACTTCACAACGATTAACCTCAGCCTGNTGAAGTCGTAATATCACTAGAAAAATGTTTAAAGCACATAAAATCATATTAAAATATATACATTTACAAGTATGTTCTGTATTTACAGTACATGCATTCGTAAATTTAAATTACTTTTTTCTGTACTATATTAAAAACTAAAATTTATTTGTTTGTAAGCTTAAAATAGATCCTTATTAACCATATATTATTAAAAATGCGTTAATAAATAAAATACAGAACCGGAATTGGTAATTTATGGTTTAGCCTAGTGACAAGTAGATTCGGAGACAAGTAAATTCGACTTAAGTCGCCTCTCCTGGAACCAATTACCGACGTAAGGCGAGGTATACCTGCATAATGCAATATTCTTAAATAAATCAACTATATTAATTATATGTATTAAAAAATGATTAAATACTTAATATAAAAATTTGCTTGAATTATTAATTTAGGTATGTTAGACAGTTCACCAGTTTTAAAAACAGTAACTAATAAAAGCTGCTTATATGAAATTGAATGGCATACTGCTGCTGCTTGTCCATTAAAAGTCAAGAAAGGAAAAGATTGTAAAGTATTTGATGATGATTTAGGTGAGAATTATATATTGTTTGTATTTTTTAGAGTCTAGAGTCTAAATTTTATTTCTATAATTACCGTAAAATATAATTTTAAATTTGTTTATAAGATTCCAAAAAGTTTTTAGAGGATTACAAATATATCTTCACTTTCAAATTATTTTTTAAAATAACTAAATAAGATCTGTTGTTTTTTAAATTAAAACTATCAAATTTACAAATATAATTTAACCTTTAAGTGATAGTAATTAGCTGCTTTTCTCTAAGAGATTTTTACATAGACAATTAAAAATTTGTTTTGTTTTAATTACAAAAGTTAATTATATTAAAAAAAATTATTCCATATTACTGCTACGTGCACTTAATGCAAGGATCATGTTTGTATATTATCAATTGCTGTATAATATAATCATATCAGCACTATGATAGAAACTAAGAGTTCAATTCAATAGGTGTAAGAGAAGAGTAAGAATAATACCAAAAAACATTGTCAGTCTTTACAAACATGTCAAGTAACATAGCAATATTTTCAAAACACTCAATAATAAAAGTTGCAATGAGCAACAACTGTAAAAATAATTTTCACAGATTAGAAAAAAGTTTATCAGTATTTTGCTTATGACAAACTTTGTAATGGAGTAATTAAAATTACCCAAACAATCTTTAAAATGTCATATTTTTGATTACTTGTTGTTTAATTTCTAATAATATTTTATATTATATGTTGAGTTATACAGGGTTCCTACATAACTAGAAAGTTGGAAAAAATCAAGGATTTTCATTAGTGTTCAGAAAGAGTCAGGGAATTTGTTTCCTTGACTGCCTTATTGAGTTTTTTGTTGATAGTATATTTGATTACATGTAACCATCTACATTCAGCATAAAATAATGTGGTGCAATACAATTTATGAAAAGAGGTGCAGAATATTTTCAGGATTCAAAATTTCTCCCAAGCATACACAAAATTTTCCCAAAAAGTTTACAAAGTAAAAAAAAAATTATAAATAATTTTAATTTAAATGGTATTATTTATCATTTTAATAATTTTTATTGTGTAATAAAACAATTTCTGATTTTTTTTCAGTTTATTAATATTTTATGAAGTTTATGAAATTTATTAGGGGATAAATTTAATAAATATATTCTTTCATACATGGATTATACAAGATTTGTTAATGAGTAACAAATAAATAATTGCTTTTTTTTTCCAAAGCCATGTAGATTTATGCTTATGGATTAATATCAATAAACCAGTTTAATCTTGTATTAATAAATCATTTTATTTTTAGTTTTAATAATTTGGCAATTATAAAAAATAACTGTTAATTAGAAAAAATAACTAATTAAAAAGTTGGAGAAACAATACCATATGGGCATAGTAAGTTAAATGCTATTTTATTTTGTCATTGTGCCATACTATAAGGGACATGAGGGTCAGGGAATTTGTACAAAGTTGGTCAGGGAAAGTCATTGAATTTAAAACAAAAATTTGAGTAGGAATCCTTTATATATTTTACATTAATAATATAAAAACCATTGCATGTGTGTGTGTGTGTGTGAATTCCTTATAATTCTTGCAATTTCTATCCAGTTCAGATGAAGTTTTGATTATATTCATTTTTTGTTCTGATGGAAAGTATAGGCTACTTATTTTGCAGAAATATTAGCCATAGAATAAACGATTTATCAATTTTGAATTGGTGATCACATTTGTGTTGTGTTGATGTCAGTGACCTCATTTAGTTCATGCTTGATGACAGAATTTCCCTTAAGTTACATTTTAAAATATTTTGGCAAATGGCATATGTTAAACTTACTTCATTAAATTTAAACTTTAAAAAAGATAGCCATATCATGTCACTTCTATAACAAATTTTTAAAAAAATCTTTCCATAGTACCTACGTGATGTTCTATTATCCAATCAAAAGTAAAGTCTTATGAGTCTGTTATTCAGAAAGTGTTATCATTCATCTAACTAACATACATACAATTTATCTTTGTTTTATCAATATGGAATTAAAAAGACTTGCTATTTTGTCCTAAAGAAATGCCTAGGGGAAGCGTAATTGTAAAATTGGTCAGGTAAATTCTAATCTAAAAGAATAAGAACAACTGAGACCCCTGAAGGCCATGAAGTCCCAACTTGAGCAGCATTGAGTAAGAATGGCTTTGTCAAGGGCTGCAGAAACAGCATCACAAAGTTTTACTCAGAATGTATTGTGTAAAGAAATTTTATAAAGAAAGATTTTAATAGTTTTTAATATAAATGCCATCATCTATTCGTTTGTGTGTAAGTGAATTCTTTGTAACTCCTATTATTTTTGTCCACTCCAGATGAATTTTTGTTTTGTTGCTCCTTATGTTAAATAGATAGTATGAACTATTTAATTTTAGAAATATTAGCAACTCTTCTTGAATTTCTTGAAATCTCTACTCTTCTCAATTCTTCGATTTCTGCTTTCTAATAAAAATATTCTACCATGTTTAATGGGGGAATTTTTGGTTAATAATAAATTAATATATAAAATATATTGTAATAATTGATTACCAACATTCTATTAAATTAATTATAAATTTATCATGTTTTTAGGATTTACAGTAGATTTGAATCCACTAAAATCAGATAAGAATTATGAAATAAAAACAGATAAATATACATACTACTTGAATGTTTGTGGTCCAGTTAAAGGAACAAAATGTGATGAAAATGAAGGAAAATCTCAAGCTGCTGCTTGTCAAGAAGAATCAAATGGGTAAGTTTTTAAAAAATATCTCAATTTTTGTATATATTAAATAATAGAATTGTAGATATTCCAAATCCAGATTTTACATCTAGCAGAACAGCTTATTACTAAAATAGAAAGTATAGTTTAATTTTGCAAGTACAAAATTCTCTTGTACATAATTTGATATCATTAAATAAAACTTTATATATAAAAAAAGTATTTTTTGGAATGAAAATGGCACAGAAAAGGAAAATTAGCCACTTATAATAATAATTTAAGTTATATTGAAATTAAGTTTTTATTTTGTAAATCAAATTTCATAATATCTTTACAGAAGATTTTGGAAGTTAGGTGAACCTAATTCTGAATTATTCTATGTTGATGGCATGATAAATCTAACATATGCTCATGGATCTCCTTATAATGATGAAAATAAAACACCTCGTTTAACTTCAGTTACTTTCCTTTGTGATCATAATGCTGGGATTGGTAAACCAGAATTTATTAAAGAGATAAACCAAGCATATTCTTTTCAATGGAAGACCAGTTATGCATGTCCAACTAGTAATGTGGCAAACTGTTTATTAAAAAATCCTAAAAATGGAGTTCTCTATGATTTCTCCAGGTAAGGTTTTGAAATTTATACAGTTGAAATAATACAAAACATGAAAAGTTTTGATATTGTTGTTAAAAAGTAATTTTATTTAGTTGTTGATCTTTTATTGATTTAATTTATAAATAATAATTTTCAATTATTAATTTCATTTTACAGACTGACTAAAACTGTTCAAGAAGGTAACTGGATAGTAAATCAAAATACTAATGGGAAAAAAAGAAAATTTTATTTAAATGTTTGCCAGCCATTAAATCCTGTTATAGAATCATGTTCATCTGATTCATTTGCTTGTGTAATAGAAACAAATGAAGAGGTTAGCATTTTATTTAGTAATGATGTTTTATATATATATAAAGTCTTTCATGTGTAATTTATTGATGCTTGTACAAGTATTATGAGATTGATAAATTGTATATTAGTGTCTTATGTCCACTGACAAAGGTAGATTATTTTTTCTTTCCAGCATACCACTAATATAGCCTGATGGCATATGGCAGTGGTTGGCATTGTCACTAATTTGTTGACAACCAAAATAATCAGTAATATAAAAATGTATTTAATATATAATTCTGGGTGCATTCTCATATATACATATATAAGGACTAAATTTCTCATTTAATTCTAACAATGCATGGCCTTTGAATCCTGATGAATCTTTATTCTCATTATTTTTACAAATGGCATCATAAGCATTTCTATTAAACCAAACAATCACCATAATTAATTGGGCTATTATTTTGCTACAATTAATAATTAGAAATTAAGTAATGTGGTACTAGAAGTAGATGTTAGGTGCCATCTCTTATCAAAATTAATAATTATAATAATTTAATATTATTAAATAATTTAGAACAGTCTGGAAGAAAAGAAATGGTGTGGAGCAGGAGTCAAACCCCCAACCTCCACTTACTGTGCAGTGTGCTGCCCAGTAATGCCATCCAGACTTCCAAGCAATTCCTCACTTTCAGACATACTGCTAGGCATTTCTATGCCTTGTCCCTATCAGCTATAATAATAAGAATTATAATTAATGAATATTTTAAAAACAGTAAGTAGGTATAAAATTTAGATGTATGATTTAGATCATTAAATTTAATTATTATTATAGCTGAAGAAGAATGGGACAGAGCAATACTTTAAGTCCAAAATTAATTTGTAAAATGTTGAGAATAAATGTTCCTTATAACTCAACAAAGATGGAATTAACAAAAACTTTGTGTCCTTTTATGTACAGTGTAAAGAAAGAAATTTATACATAATTCATTCATATTGTATAATGATAAAAAAAATATTCTTTTGTGAACTAGGACTTGTTATACCCTCAGTATAACAAGTCCTAGTTAACAAGAATGTTCAAAGTGGACAAAAGTATAATATAAGTAATTAAGGACAAGAAGCACATATCAACATAAAAAATATCCATTTGCACAGATACTTAACTGCCAGGTGATCAAAAAAGTTTGCAGTTTTTGCAATTGTAACTATTGCATAAAAATCTTTGGAGTTTGATTTTTAAAATTTGGGAAAATCTTGCAAAAAATCAGTTTAATCATGTTTTTATTGGTAATAACTATACACTCAAATTTAGAACATACATGATCCCCTTTCATATACTAGTCTTGTTTTTTGCAAAGCTCTTCTTCATGGCTTTTCCAACTTTCTTCTCTGACTTTTTTAAAGGTCAAGAAGTTGATTTGTTATCTTTGTTTTATATCTTAGCTCTCTCTTTATGAAGAATCTTAAGTTCATATCTCTACCTCAAAGCAAAGTAGACAGCTGAGTTAAGTTCTATATTCCTAACTGTACAGTATATGTATTTACAGACTACTATGTAAACTATTTATAATATTGCACAACACATGGATATCCCTATACAACTCATCATTTGGAAGTTCCTTGTCAACCTTGTTCTATCATGTACTTTCTCCTGTCATGGTCCCTCTTATCCTTATTGTTGGTTGGATGTCTCAACCAATTAAAAAGTCAGGATCCCAACATGTAAAGGGAGTTTGTTACTGTTTGTGTCATGTGGATGTTTAGCCAAAATTAGGTGCCAACAAGACAAATCAATTCCCATATGTCTATAGGGATTACATGTCTGTCAACCTTCTAACAAAGTCTTTTTTTTTTTTACATTCAATTACTAAAGCCTAGTTCATTCATACATTGATAGTAGTTAATCGCCTAAATGTACTTCTGGACTACATTAGCTTGCTTTCACTTTTGCATGTATCTTCTATAACTTTAGTTAAACGTTAGTACCGTATTTTAGAAAGAATTATCTATATGAATTAATTTTGTATAATGAGCTAAATTATTATAAGTCTTATTAAATTAAATAATAAATATAGATTAAGTTCTAATACTAAGTATTGTTTTGTTGTCTATAATATTGCAAATTAAATAATTTAATATTATTAATCAGTTTAATTCAAATGTCTATAAGTTTTGGTTAATTTTATAAGAATACTTTTCAATTAACTTTATGTATTTGTATAATTTCAGGGAGATACATCTGTCCATAACTTAGGGAACAAGATGACAGAACTAGAATTTAAAAATCAAGGGCATTTAACAGTGAAATATACTTCTGGTGATCCTTGTACATCATTTGGTAAAGCAGATAATTATACAACAACAATTCATTTCTTATGTGATCAAAGGGTATTAATATATTCCAAATTTTTTTCACAACTAAAATAATTGTTTTATAATATTAGACTAGACTAAAATTATTAATATTGGAGAACTTAAGAAAAATATTCATTTGGTAAGATCTTTAAGTAAAATTGGTGAATAGAATTGAAGATTACATTACATTTATTCTTTTATTATAATCTATAATTATGAATTTAACAAAATTTCAAGATTTAAATTTTGAAACAAATTTGATATTTCTGAGACATAAAATAAAGAATATATAATTATAAATTATTTTAAATTTTAATTAATACAATATATATTTATGTAAATATTATCATTTGATGGAATGGTAATTTTCAATTTTGAAAATTATGATAAATTGATAAACTAATATAAGAAAATTTTAAATAACAAATTGCATTAAAAGACTGTGTGACTTTCCTACTCTAATCCAATATCAAAAGGTACTGGAGGAAGATGAATGTCTTTGTTTTCCTTCAGAATTCAACAGGATAGTGCAAAACAGCAGCTATGTGTATCTTGAGCCACTAGTAGAACTGAAATTCACGAAATTTGTACAGTTATTGCAAAAAGAATTAAAAAGCAAAGAAAATTAATGCTAAAAATTTTATCTGTTACTGCTAAAGTTTATTCTAAAAATTAGACGAGAACTTGAACAAACCTTTTACTCTGTCAGTCAAAAAATTTTTTTCAACATAAAAAAGAGTATTTAACTGATTTTTTTTAAAAGTTTTTTCAACTTTTTTATTAGTCATTTGTAGAGCATTATTGTGCTTTCATTTACAATTGATTTCAGTGATTTAACATATGCTTGATTGTAAGTGTTTTGTATTTTCTGTACTGTAGTATTTGCTCTCTTTACCCTGTTTTTCTGTTGATTGTCATTTTTGCCTCCTAAGGTATTACAATTTGGTTTTTATTTCATTAAACTTGGAAAATGTCATTATATGATTTTAAAATCTCCATCGATACAAAGATGTGCTTTTAGCCTTAACCATAATTTTACATAAAATACATAACTATATAAATTTATTATCCATACAATGTCAGTTTTAGATTATTTCATACTTTTAAGTTTATAGAATGTGTGAGATTGCAGATTTTAAGGGAATTTTGAAATCAATGTTAAAACGTTTTTTTTTTTTTATTGTAAACATCCCCGATAGAAAAAAAACTCTTTGCAGAGTATCAGATTGGATGTCGCCTTTTGTATCAACAATCAAGTGGGAAAGTTGACACATAGTCGTCAAAGAATGCGAGTCATTGTCAACAACGGACGATCATGTGACCCCTTTCCCACAATAATACTATAAAAGATGGAGTAACTGAAAGCTCAGGGTGATCAACTGGAAGTTGTACTTGAGATAGCGTACATTTTAGCCTCCACATCTTGATCCTGCTGAGGAAACAAGGATGAGGACTATGATACTTCCATAATCGTAAGAGATCGTCGCCAATAACTCTCCATCAACACATAGAGGTAATTATTAGCAGTCTGTGAACTCTCTCTCAACAGAAATAGGCACAGCTGTTAAAGATTAGCCCTGTTGTAAATAATATATCGTGTAATCGTAAGTTTAACCGCATTTTGTCACTTTTAGCCTTGTATAACCTGAATGTGTTTTGCTATAAACATTCTCATGTATTGTAGAGTTAGAAATTTATTAAACCTTTATTTTGTTTTTTGTTGAACCTGTCTCCTGTTTATTTGGAAACGGAACCTATCAATTTACCAACCCACTCCCCACTTGAAATTTGCCCTCCTAAAAGCCATTGAGTGACAAAGTAAGCGAGTTTTATCAACTTGATGTGTAAGTGGCAATTGGGGAACTGACTCTGTGCCCTCATAGTCTCACAAATGCTAAATATAATAAATTGTTCAGTTATTTTAAGAACAACAATTTATTTGAAGTTCTATTTTCTGAGTTTATTACATTACAGATTTATTGTCTTTGATATGTGATATCACTAGTATAGAACAGTTTATTCATAATAGTGAAATACAAGTTATAATTAATATTAAGTTTTCTATTTGTTTAACTATTCCTATCAGTAAAATATGGATAATTTGACTAGTTAAACAATCAAAGTGTTATTTTATCCTTGTAAAAAATTTTTTTTTATTTACAGGTAGAAGAATTAAGATTCTTAAATTTGTTGGGAAATTGTGAATACATGTTTTTGTGGTCAACAGAAGCCGCTTGTGGTGTAAAATCTGAAATATCTAAAAATAAATGCACCATCGTTGATCCATTAACTGAATATACATTAGATTTACAATCTTTAAAGAGTGATCATGGTTACAGTGTTACTGCTGATTCTCGTACTTTTAAGGTAAAGTTATATATATAAAATAATAATAATTGAATTAAAATCTTTAATAAGAAAAGGCTTGTCTAATTAGATTACAAAAAGCTTGTCTAAATTAAAGCTTGTTTTAATAAATACTAAAATAACTTTTATCTTGATGAAATAAATATTATGATTAAAAAATAAATGTTTTTAATAATTACTTGTTTTTATAATTTTGATTGTAGTTAATTATAAAGGAATGTTTGATTAAGAGTTAGAAGTTATGATTACGAATTAAGAGAAGTTACAATAAAAATACATATCAGTCAAAAAGTTTTTGTGTTAATTAATGATAGACACTATTAATTTGACATTGTTTTAAAATTTAATTGTTAAATAAAGTTTTTAATTTTTATTCGCTTGACTTTGCAGTTTGATATACTCAGATGAGAATTTTAAATTATGTTCTTTAATATATATTTAGTTAAATATATGTGGAACTGCTGATGGATGCACATTTGAAGGAAAAAATGTATCTGTTTGTGAATTAAATGAAGGAAAACCTCATAATATTCTTGGATTACTAAATGATTACTATTTGGAATTGTCTGATGATGAAATTATAACACTTGTTTATGAAGGAATTTTTAATCAAGCAACAGGTAGGAATCAAAATATTAAATCTGTAAAAAATTCATTGATTCTATAAGAAAATATTATTATTTGTATAAATAAAATAACTCTAAAAGTTTGTCACTATAACTTGTTATTTGTAATTAAATTTTTTAATTATATAAGTAAATTGTCAATGGTGTTAACACATGCCAAAAACATATTTTGTGATACATTATTAAAGTTTTTATTCATTAATATATTTTTGTGTGGAATGTGTGTAAAAAATTGAATGGCTTTGTGTGAGAATTTCAACCAATAGAATACAATATTTGTTGATAATTCAGATAATTTATCATAATATAATGAAAATGTTATATTACAGTATAAGATAATGATTGAGAAGCAAACATAACTTATATTATAGTACAGTGCAAGTTTTAAAATAAAGCATGGGTAATAAATAAGTAATATGCAAAACATTGAATATATAAAGACCATGTATAGAACATGAAACATTTAGTGTATAAAACTTAATTTATTTAAATGATAAGTAGTAATTGTCTGAAAGTTAAAAAGTTTAGATTTTTCTGTAAAACACTATGATGATTTATTTATATTTTTTTTATGGTTATACAATTTAAATGTAAATTGATATTTATTTTATTTGAAATTTAGTTTTTAAGTAAAATACTAAGAAAAGATGAAATTGATATTTATTAAACATTATTCAATTTCTTTATTATGAAAGTTTTAGTTTAAAACTCTGTGTCATCAGAAAGATGTGACATTATATTAAAAAAAAAATTAACTTCAGAAAATTAAAGTTTTTCCTTTCAACTTTTATTACAAACTTTTAATTAATAAAATTTTTATTTGTTTAAAATATAATAATATATTAAATATTTTGAAAATCTGAACAGAAACTTTGAAAATAAAGTAACAAAAGAAATGCCATTTTGTTAAATATTAGTCAATTTCTTCAAAACATTATTAAAATTTTCATTTTATTTAAATGGTTATTTTACAGGCATTGTATCAAAAGTTTATGTTGAATTACCATGTAAACAAGGAGTAAGACAGAAGGAAATTAAATTTATTCGTCAAGACGGCAATGCTTACTTTTTTGAATTAGAAACTTCACTTTCATGTTTTCCTAATCACATTGATTGCTCATTTAGTGATTCTTTTGGTAATAGTTATGATTTAAAATCTCTACTTAGATGGAAAAATGACAATTGGGAAGCTGTAGACATTCATTCAAATGATAAATATCATATAAACTTTTGTAAACCATTGAATCCAACATCATTTTATACATGTCCAGGTATGAATATTTTTATTTACTAAAATATGTTAAATTTAGTTACATATAAAAATAAAATAAAGGATAGAAATGTCAATTTTACTGTGAGTTAAAATCTAATTTTATTTTGTATAGTTGTATTTATTTTGAATATAATAAACTCTAGTTAATTTATTAATTTTACTTTTTGAATTGAACTGATTAAATTTTGTTTTGATATATATTAATGTTATATATTATATTAATATATATTAATGTATATATATACATTAAGCATATATATATATGTGTGTGTGTGTGTGTGTGCTTAATGTATTATTTTGTATATAAAGAATAAATTTTCAAAATTAACATCAACTTCTGTGAAAATAAATCATTTTTTTATTTTTGTAAAAATTATGAAGTAGAATAGCCCAATTTCTTTTTATCATATAAATTTGAAACTTGGCATGTTTGTTCTCTGAAGATGTAATGAGAGCAAAATCAAATTACAGTATCAATTACAGGCTGCTGATGGGAAAATGTTGTATTTTGATATGGAAATAGTGTTTTGAAGTGGATGTTGCTTTTATTTATTTTGTTTACTACTAGAAAACAAGTGTAAATTATGTTTTTGTTTGAAAATATTGCTATTGTAACTGCATTTTTAAAGCAACATAAGTTGATAATTTAGGTAACATTTAACGTAATCAAAAAGGCTTGGGGGACATAAGGATTAAGGAAAAACATTCTTCATTTTCTGAATGAAATAAGGAAAGTGTTTTAACTCTTTTTCTGGAAGAAGCAGAATTACAATAGTTGTATTTTGATATAGAATATGCACAAGTTCTTTGGAATGACCCAGGTGCTACAAAGGTTTCAATTTTGAAACATAACCTGTGTTTTCAGATCCTGAAATACTATGAAAAAAAAACCATTGTTTTGTTACAGCAAAGTCATAGCATAGTCTGGGAAAGCAGAAAATTATTTTTCCATTCCTAATTCGTTTTCATTAGTCTACAGAAGTTGCATTTCAGAGTCTGCTCTAGATATACAGGAGGATGCAAAAGTAGGTGTACAGTTGTCATTATGGAAAAAAAAGCATACAGGGAGAAAATAGGAAGAAAAAACATTTATTATTATGTACAAATTAAATCACAAATAAAAAATACAAACTAATAAAAGATAATAAATATAATAATAATGAACATCAAACATTTGTATTTCTCAGATTCTCAACTGTATACCTACTTTTGCATCCTCCTGTATAATTTGGTGATATAATTGTTTTCTCATGTTCCTTATAGCATTCTTTATATAAAAATAAACTCAGTTGAATGTATTAATTGTGCATTTAATGTTTGATTTCCAGTAAATTATATTCAGGACTATAAAATTGATTATCATAAATTATGCTTATACAATGAAATAAATTTATCAAAATATTATGTACTGTATTTTATGGTGCATAAGATGTCCAACTAAAAAAGGCAGGACTTAAAAGTTACTCTGCATCTTACATGTGAAGTAATTTCTTGTAGGCTAATGAATTCTTCAAACAGCCTTCAGTAGGCTATGGGTAATATCTACCTAGCCCAACTTTTAAATAAAAATGTTGTTATTTAATTAAACATGTTGTTTCCAGGATGATTAAAGGTTTTTTACTGAAGAGTTATGTCCATTCTCTTATTGCATTTAATAAGTTAACGGCACAGGATGGCTTAAATACACTAAATATTTTTTCATAAATATTTTGTGCTGAAATAGTGGTGCATCTTATGTGCTATAAAATTTTTTTATACAATATTTTTACTGATAAAAATTTACCAGAATAATACTGTTGTTGTGATATAATCTTCATTTTGATTTCTTGTTTAACAATTCACTCTGATATGACCTATCACAAAGCAACATATAGTTCTGTTTTCATATTTTATGTTTACCAATATTATATAATGTCTTAACTAATATACTTTAAGAATGTTTAATTTTAAAACTCATAATATATTATTTAATAAATATATATATTTAAATTAATAAAAAAAATAAAATTCTAAAATGTACATACATATATATTATTTGAAAGCTGGAGAAGTTATGTCATGTCAAACATCCCATGATGGAAAGGAAGGCTTCAGTTTAGGATACATTCAAGAGAAACCAATTGTACATTCTCAAGGAATTATTACTTTGAAATATAAAGGTGGCACACTCTGTGATGAAGGACAGTTTAATCGTAGCACAAGAATAAATCTCAAATGTTCAACTGTGCAGGTTAGTTAATGAACATTTGAAATAATTAAAATATTTAATTGCAAAATTAAACAAAATGTAATTATGTTTTCAGAAAGATTTGGTTTTTGTGGGAAAAACAGTAGATTGTGTGTACATTTTTTCTATGGATACACCTGCTGCATGTCCAATTAAGGTAAATATTTTAACATTTTAATAATAATCTGAATATTAAAACCCCAAATACCAGAATTTAAAAAATAATGCTGCTTTGATTGAATTTTACAACTACATTAATTTTTTAAAAATAAATTTGTACTTTTATTTGTCTATATCATTACATAGCATAATATTAAAAAATTATTTATAGTAGAAAATGAAGGAGACTGCTAACTAATGGATATATATAGTTTATTATTTGAACTGTAATTTTTTGTTAAAGCTAATATGTTGAGATATTTTAATATTACTTATTTATTCACTTATAATAAAATAAAATCCTTGAAATAAGGAAAATTTAATGGAAAAATTACAGCTTGCATAAATATTTTCTGTATTTTTTACACTAAGATCATTCTAGTTAAAAAAAAAATACAGTAAGAAATAGTTTGCTTATCGGATTTAACCCTGGGGTAGTGCAGTGGGGTGTTTTGCCACCCCCGATGTTTTAAAAGTTGCACTATTCATAGATTTCGCAAGAAATATTTGTGTCCTCTTCAGTAGCTTCATGATTTTATGTATAGAGCATGCTCAGAAATTACTACGATGCTGCAGAAATTCCAGTAAGAGAAAAACAACAGTTTTCAGTGGGGTGTCCAAACACCCCACAGTATTAATTACGTTTTTTTTTAAATTTTACAAATATTTATTTAGTTTTTTTTATTTTTCAAATAACTATAATGTGACCACATTTATTATTTATAATATAGATATAATAATCAATGTGAATAAAAATAATTTAAGTTTATTTTAATTCAAAATGGCTGACTTTCATAAACACATTGAGAAAATACCAAACATAGCAAGTTGCTTGTCATTTGCAATGAGTGCCAAAGTACAATGTCAGCTATTGAATCAGAGTGACAAAAATGCTTAAAAAAACAATTTAGATTTTTACTATTGGTTTAATAATAAGATCTAATGTAATGAGTTTTGATAAATGTTGTTTTTTATTTTCATGGATTTATGTACTAATATAATATGTAATCATACCTGAATATAATCATATGTATAATGACACATGCCTTTACCAAATAAATGAGTAAATGTTTATGAATTTTCATTTACATGGTTTATGGACCCAAAAAAATGTTGGGGTGGACAAACGCCCCACTGCACTAATGCCGAAAAAAACTCAGTGCACTAACACAGGGTTAAATACTTTCTAATTAAAAATTCAGCTAAATAATATATCATTATAAAGAAATCATAATATTACTGAAATTATTTTTGCTTAGCTTTTATGTATTTAGTTATTTTTCTATGAAAAATTCCAAAAATTTATTTGAGGCATGCATTAAAAATAGAATATTTTATACACTTCAATGAAAAAGTAAGGAAATATATTAGAATAAATATATCTTCTAGAGATTGCTTTTGTGTATGTTTAAATAGATTCATTTTTTCCAAATTATTAAAAATTTAAATTTTACTTTGTATATATAATTTTTAGTATGGGAAAAATGAAAGTCTAAGAGTAGTTCTTTGAGAATGAGCACAAAATTACTGTGTAAAACTTATCACACAGGAACACTCCCCTTTCCAATCATGACATAAGATCCTATGCTACTGAAATACTACATATATCCTATACTATTACAAAAAAATAATTAGTTTAAAAGTCACCGTCAGGGGAAAATGGCATTTTATGAACACTCCAGCATTTATGCAAATTCATATCATGTGCCATATGGTTTTACTGCTAAAGCACCATTTATCTATCAGCTCTGACATTTGCCTATTATATAAGTTCCACAAAATAAATATATCAATGATATATTTATTTTGTGGAACTTTATATCACAGTTTCTTAGAAACTATTTGATATTATAAATCCAAACAGTTGCCAGATTACCTCAGGCTATATTAATGCTATTAATTATCAATTAAATGCCAAGTAATTTGGCCTAGATGTAGATGTTAGATGTCGTCTCTTGATAAATTACCTATAAGCCAAATTACTTGACACTTAATTGGTACTTATAGTAGTATTAATAAAGCCTGATGTAATCTGGCAGTCATATGGCTTTAATATAAGAATCAAGTTTGTAGATTTTTACTGTATATGTCTATTTGATACTTTAAATTAATACAGTATTAACATTTCTAAGATTTTTATTTACGTTGATTTTCATGCTAAATAAATTAATTCATTATTGAGATACATTGTTATCCTAATGCAATACATAATTTTATAAATGAAAGTGATTTATATAAACAGTGATTGTATTAGAAGATATGATACAATTTTGATTATAAATCTTATAAACTATAAACATTTTTTTTTTTTTAGAATGTAGATGGCTTCCACTGTGCTGTTAAAATACCAAAGTATGAATACACTATAGATTTATCTTCATTACATCAAGAAATTGGAGAATATCGTGTTAAGCATAAAGAATATGAATATATTCTTAATGTGTGTGGTGAAATAAAAAATGCCTCTGGAAAATGTAAAGGAGCTGCAGTTTGTCAGACAAAACTTTCAGATACTGATTTTGCTATTAATGCAGGTATTGAAAAAAAAATCAGAAATGAAATGAACATCACATAGATAATAATTAAATAACTTTACATTTGAAATGTTAAATTATTCATACTTTTTTTAGGAATGCCAAATTCTAACTTGCTTTATGATGATGGGGTTGTTCAATTGATATATGAATCTGGAAAAGGAAATTGCCATCGTAAATATAATAGGTCAACAGTAATTATTTTTACATGTGACAGCTCTACAAATGGTGCAAAAGGGCCAATATTTTTAGAAGAAAAAGAAGACTGTACTTATGTGTTTGAATGGCCAACTTCTCTCGTATGTTTACCTTATTCACTTCACCAATGTAGTGTTGATGATGGAGACTTCCATTATGATCTCAGTCCACTATCATTACCTGATGATAATTATATGATAAGTCATGGACAGAATTTAGTATTTGTCATTAATGTCTGTAGATCTATAGTGACAAAAAGTGGTAAGTGATAAAAGGAATTTAACTACATTTTTAGTTTTTTACCTTTAATTAAATAATGAACTTTAATTTTTATTATAGATCAGAATATTTTACATAACTTCATAGTAATGAGATAGATCTTTTAAACAATTTAACTTGAAACAATAATGATAATTCTTCTGAAAAATTTACATTTTTTAAACTAGTTTCTAAGTGATATGTATTTTATTATTTAAGAGAAGATTAAGTAATTAATTTAATTGAATTATACAACTTCTTTGTCTCTAAAGATTCAAAGAGATCAGTTAATTTCATTAAAGAAAAATAGTTGCTTTTTCTGTAATATTAAAATTCATATTTGACTGGAGAATCTTATTTTTAACACATAAGTATCTGTTATTTCTTTTAACCTCCATAATTTGATGCGAAATTTTCTAGATAATGGATTAACATTTGTTAACCTGCATACTATTTTATTGCACTGCATTTGCATTGCTCACACTTTCCATACATTGTTTTTTTTTTTTCATGTTTAATATTTTTACATCAGAAATTCAGTATAATTAAATATCTACAATACATACATATTTTCATGCAAATGTATTTAGATGTAGGTAATTATTATATAGATAACATTAATTTACAACTTTTTGTGGTGTTTTCTCTATACAACAGCAGTCAACACATGGCTCTTAAATACTAGCAATGTCATTTCTGTGAGCTATCTTTTGTAAAAATTAATAATAATAATAATGTTATATGAGAATGGTTGGAACCATTAATTTTATTACACTTACTTCAAGAGTGTTAAAATCTGATTGGCAATATAGTCAAATAACAAGGACATTTGCAGTGCTTGAAATATCTAAATATCCACTTCTGGTCTATATTAATAGTTTTGACTAAGTTTTTTTAATAAGTATTATATTTATAAAATCAAAGTAATAAAAGTATAAACTCCATTTTCTTATTGCAGTTCTATCACTTTTATACTAAACCAAATGATCATCATAATTAATCAGGCTATTAATTTCTATTTATTAATAATTATAATTACTTATATAAAAGCCATTGTCTGTGTGTATGTGTGAATTCCTTATTGACTCCTGTAGTTTTTGTCCAATCTACATGAAATTTTTATTATATTTGTTTTATATTCTGACGGAAAGTATAGGCTACTTATTTTGCAGAAATATTAGACATAGAATAAACATTTTATCAATTTTGAATTGGTGATCGCAGTTATGTTGTGTTGATGTCAGTGACCTCATTTAGTTTATGGTTGATGACAGAATTTCCCTTAAGTTACATTTTAAAATATTTTGGCAAATGGCATATGTTAAACTTACTTCATTAAATTTAAACTTTAAAAAACATAGCCATATCATGTCACTTCTATAACAAATTTAAAAAAAAAAATCTTTTCATAGTACCTATGTGATGTTCTATTATCCAATCAAAAGTAAAGTCTAATGAGTCTGTTATTCAGAAAGTGTTATCACTCATCTAACTAACATACATACAATTTATCTTTGTTTTATCAATATGGAATTAAAAAGACTTGCTATTTTGTCCAAAAGAAATGCCTAGGGGCAAGCATAAGAGTAAAATTGGTCAGGTAAATTCTAGATCTAAAAGAATAAGAAGAACTGAGACCCCTGAAGACTGTGAAGTCCCAACTTTAGCCACATTGAGTAACAACTGCTTTATCAAGGGCTGCAGAAACAGCATCACAACGTCAAGCTCAACTTGAAGCTCTTCTCAATTCTTCAATCTCTACTTTCTCATAAAAAATATTTCATTTTGCTTGACAGGAGAATTTCTAGTAATTTAATTTTATTAAATAATTTAGAACAGAACTCGTCCAGAGTGGATTTGACCCTGCAACCTTCACTTACCATGCAGTGTGTTGCCAGTTATGATGATCATTCGGCTTAGCATCAATGCATGGTCTTTGGGAAATTTATTATATTTATCTATCACTTTTTCCTTTAAATATATTTGCTAATTTCTTTTTATTTTAATTACTAGTTTTCCTCATACAATAGAAAGTGTTTTTCTCTATTTATATTGAATTATTAGTGATCATAAATTATTATAAATTAATGTTAATAAATAAATTATATTCTAATTTAAACATTTATGATTTAGGATTAACTTTATTCAATTATTTTTTAATAAATTTTCACTATTACATAAATAAATAAATATATATATATTTTCCTTTCATAGGAATACAATGTTCATCATCTGGTGCTTGTGTAATTGATTATTCAGACTTTACAAAACATTCTAAAACAAAGTAAGTTTTTTATCATCATATTTAAAATACTACTAATTTTTAGTTCAGTAATCATCTTAAATATTATAAAATTTTTGAATTTCAAACTTTTTGTTTCTTTGTACTTTTTGATTTAATTACTAATCACATTTTGTTTTTTAGTGAAAAGGTGGTGCTTATCTTACATTATTTCTCCTTTAAACTGATAAAATTATTAAATTAAAAATAAAATAACAAAGTTATAATTATATTTTTATTAAGAGTTTCGTTTTAATTTATTTTCTAATAGTTTATTTAGAAATAACTTATGTAAATGCAGTAGAGTAGTAGTATATTCACATGGTAAGCAGGAATTGTGGGTTTAATTATTAAACAATAGCCATATTATAGTCTGATATGATCTGGCAGATCATTTAGCCTTAATCCAAAAACAGGTTAATAGATGTTTATATTTAAATAGAGATTTTAAAGAAGCATTATTTTGATCAAAATTGTTTAAAAGTTATCTTGTAGTGTTGATTACAGGAAATATTTAAAGATGACTTAAAAGTAATGAAACTTATTTATCTTCAAATATAAAGTAAAATTAACTGTTATTTACAAATGTATTTCTAAAATTTAAAAATCAATAAGATGATAATTTCTGATATCAGTTGAAAAGTTTTTTGTTCAGAAATATGACAAATAATGTAGAAATGAAAAATTTCTGTATAAACAAAGAAAAAGAAATAGCAGCAAAGTGATATGCTTTGAAAGAAATCTTCTGGTTTTGCAGACAAAAAAAAATGATCAACATTCATTTACAATAGTTTCTCAATTAATTCTAATATTAAGTTCCCAAAGTTAGCAGCATTCAATGGAGCCTCACTTAATGAGCACAATTTGTACCAGAATCTTACTTGTAATGAGAAACACTCATTAAGGAAAACAATTTTTCTTATATAAATTAATGTAAAATACAATAATGCGTTCCATGCCAGAAAAAAACTCAAATATTTATGTATAACATTTATTCAAAGAAAATTATACAATATACATTATTAAGGAGCGTGAATCATCATCATCATCTTTATCTTTATTTCAATAGATATGCTTTGTTATATAAAAGAAACTTGATTCATAAAATAATATAAAAAATTCTTCTGATTTCATGAACACAAAGATCTGTTTTTTGTTTACAAATTACAAATGCAAGGCAGTTTTCAAGATTTCCATTATATAAATTTTAATAGCTAGGCTGGTATTTTTTAACATTTTTCCTAACAGTGGCACCCTTAACTTGGTAATCTTTTTATTACTGCACCCAATTTTATTACTCCTTTATCAATGTAGAGTTATTGTGCTTTTAGTAATACAGGCATGAAGTATTATAGCTTAACTAAGCACTATATTTTGCAGTACTTCCAAAGTTTAGTAAGGCATCCTAGTCTGCTGTGACACTCCTATTGAAAACCATTGATATAGACTATAAACACAACTAAATAATGAGAATGAAATTTATAATTAGTAATTTTCCATTGATATGAAATAGTAATTAATCATTATTTTTTTAGTGAAACTTCAATAGGAAAAGCTAGTTCTCCTTATATTGAAAATGGTAAATTGAAATTACGTTATATGCAAGGTAACCAATGTAAACTTTTTTCTGGTGAAGAAACAAATATGGAAACAGTCATTGAATTTGAATGTGAAAAAAAGAATTTGGTAAGTTTTATAAAACATTTTATCTCTTTATTTTGTTGTATTTTTGTGCAATACGCTTAAATTTCAATCACACGTTATAAAACCAAAGCTATTGAAGTCATTATTTTAATGAAATAAATATTCTAGTTTTTTACATTACAACCAGGGCTGTGGAGTTGGAGTCGTGGAGTTTTGGTGTTTTAGCCGGAGTCGTCTAAAAATCCGCCAACTCTGACTCCTTTTTATTTACCAACTTGTTATGTATATAAAATGGAAAAGTATTGGAATCGTGTCAAATTTGACTCTCCAAGGTTTTTTTTTGCAAATTTACACATTTGGAAACCTCAAAAAAGTCAATTAAAGGGGAAAAATTTGCGCGCTTGTCTGTGTTGGTGTCTAATTTGTTTAATTTCTTTATTTTCTGTTCTGAGATATTAAACGTCTCAGAATGGGTAAAGTTTAAGAAACAAAATGTGGCACTGTAGCTTGCATATAAAGGGGCTTTAATACTATTAAATTTTGGTTTTTAATTAAAGATTGACAGGGTGAAGACATAAAAGGGGTTATGTGTCATATCTCTTAATGAATATTTTACTCATTATTAGCATTCAAAATTTAAAAAAATAAAATAAAACTCGTCTCTACCCTCAAAGTAAGCTTTTTTTGTCATTTTATAATAGTACAGTAAACCCGTTAAGATGTTCTTGCCTAAGATGTTAGAATGTATATGGGGACATGGTTTAGTTCAACCACTTTGACATTTAATAACTAACTCCTGTGTTAAACCATCTGACTCCGGTTCTGACCACTCTGACCACAGAAATTATTAGGCTTCAAACAGGGTAAACAAAATCATGCCTCCCACACACAGTCTAACATCCACACATATAGAAAAAACCTCTAATATTTTTCATATCTAGAAACTTCAAGGTGTTCAGAGTCCAAAACTGTAAAAATTTGAGAAGGGTCATTTTTTGACCGAGCACTACACTTTCCCTCTGTTATATATAACAGCCAGAAAAGTAAAAATTATCGAATACATATTTATATATTACTTAGAGGAGTCTTTTAGCTTTGGAATAAAAAGTTTCTATGTTCTATCCTTATTAGAACTCTATTTATTGAATTTTTTATTCTGAGGTCATGTGATGACATTAGAATTTCTGGGTCTTTTTCATAACAAGTCCACCCCTGGTCGGAGTTGGATATTATTTTATTTCTAAAGAATTTCATTGATTGCTTAGTGCTTAAAACTATTCTGGATTCTTAAAGCTGTTATTCTGTTTGTGCTGTTGATAAGTGTATCAGTATTTAAGAATTTTCTTATTATAATTTATTTAGTATGATTGTTTTCTGTAATATGATATACTAGTAGCCCAGGATGCCCCCTAGTGGGCGTTCTAGCGTTTTTTGTTATTTGCCCCCTAGTGAACATTACAGGCATTCCGTGACAATAATAAATTCCCATTACAAATATACTGAATTATTTATATTGTTATATTGACCAAATAATAATTTATTGGCCAAATGAATAATAATAATTTATATTGTTAATTTAAATAATAATTAAAATTGTTAATTTGAATGTTTGAAATATGTGACACAATAGGGGCGCCTCTAGTGTCCATTACCATACTGTTACGTGGACAAATGGATACCCGTTGAATGGGTTATATATATAGATGTACAGTACTGTTAACGGCTATTGTTTCTAGACTTTTTTGTATAGTGTGTGTGTGTTATGACATCTATACATGAAAGTACATAGGCACAAAAGTACCTTATATATTCTCTACAGGTGCTTTATTTTATGGCAAATTCTGAGTACTTACTTATTTTTTTCAGTTATATTGTGGATGTTTGAAAATGATATGTGTAATTTTTGTTTTGTCAATGAATATGATGTATGATTTGTTGTGATAGATTATTTTGCCTACAATTTATGATTAATCACAGCATACTTTGCTGTTTTCTAAGACTGTCCGTGGTAAACCTCTATATTTGTAATATGTAATAATTTGTTTGTGTGCAAATGTTTGATGTATTGTTTATTTTTAATTGTATATTATGTTAATATAAATAGTTTGAATGTGCTAAACTTGCAGCCTGATGTAATGTATAGTTTCAGGCATGATATGGCATTTCATACAGATTATTTATTATTATTTTCTCTTTTAATATAATAAAGTAACAAACTTATATTAAATAATTTTATAGGATAGTGAACCACAATTTATTGGAATGGAAAATTGTACATACTACTTCTCTTGGTCAACAGCATATGCTTGTCCTGTTGAAGATAAGGATGATTCAGAAAACTGTGTTGTAGAAAATCCTACTACAGGTTTAATTATTATAAGTTTGAATTTTATACTTATAGAAAAAATATATATATATATATTAATGTAATATATTCTTTTAAAAATAGGTTTTAAATATAATTTATCATCATTAAAGAAAGTTGGGTCATATGAAGTTATGACTTCAAATTCAGAACATAAGTATTATCTCAATGTATGTGGTGCTATAAAAAATAGTACTTGTGGACCAAATGTTGGTAAGATTATTATTATTATTATTATTAAATTTTAAAAATACAAATACCTGTATTTAAAAAAATATATATTCTATTAGGATCTTGTCAAGAAGATGAAGAAAGTAATAAAAGATGGAATGCAGGCCTAGCAAATTCTAAATTAAATTTTCATGAAGGAGTATTGACTTTAAATTATAGTGGTGGGGATATTTGTCATGGAAAGTATTCACGTCATACTATAATAGAATTCAAGTGTGGTAGTGGAGAAGGAAAGCCCATGTTTCAGTTTGAATCTGAAGATTGTACTTATTATTTTATTTGGTCAACATCATTAGCTTGTGAAAACAAAGTAATTTCTTTAAATATTATAATTTAAGATTATCTGTTAATAATTATTTTCAAATAATAATAATATTTTTTTTTGCAGAAACATTGCATAATTTCAAATGGTTCAGAGTCATATGATTTAACACCATTAAGCAAGTCAACTTATACTGTAAATGATTTAACGGGTAAAAATGATTTATATTATTTAAGTGTATGTGATTCAGTCAACATAAATGGAATAGGTTGTCCTCCAGATGCTGGAATTTGCAAAATTAATAAAGTCAATAAATCAGCTACAGTAAGTAAAAGTCTATTTGCTTTATTTTTGTTTATAAATGAAGATTAATAAAAGTTTTAAAAAATTTTAAGAGTCTTGGAATTCCAACATCACCAATGATTGATTTTGAAGGCTATGTAACAATACTTTATCCATTTGGATCATTGTGTGAAAATGGGAAGAAAAAACTGACATCAAGAATTAAATTTATTTGCGATACTTCAACAGAAATGGTAAATATCATAATTGCATTAATGCTTTAAAATATTTAATTTCAATTCTTTGAAGAAGTTTTATTTTTGTTGAATGATTAGATTATATTATTACATGTCAAATGATAATAGTTTTAATTCTTTTAAAACTATTATCATAATTCTTTTGCAATTTTCATAAAGTTTGATGAGAAAAAAAATTGTTTTTGATAAATTTTTTTAATTTTTGGATTTATATATTTGTTAGTTTCATAAATTTCATATTTCTGATGTAGAATGTTTTTAAATTATACATTACAATAATAAAACCTCAAAATTTGCACATCAGAAGATCAAAACTTATGGAGTATGCAATTATTAAAGTAAGAAAAAACACTGGAAATTTTATCCTGTTGCACTTTTCATTTTATCAAATCATATTGCTTATGTTTAATTTCTGTTACATCCACAAGAAGAGAATTAGTTGAGATTTTCAGTGTATTGCTTAGAGGAGACAGATAAGTCTCTAATAATGTTATTACTGCAGAAAGTACCTTTTTTTCTTGTTAGATTCCTGACTAAATTATCAGCTTTCTACCTTATTGTCATTACTATCAGCTGTATTTCAGCTTTGTTAGCTGGATTATTTTTGCAAATACAAATATTTGCATTAGCTTCAAAATAATTGGACATTTTACATGTTTTGACATTTGGTCCACAGTGGATGTTCTTCCAATAGATCTTCAATGTGTCAGAAATTATTCTCTGCATTACAAGATAAAACCTTTACTTTCTTGAAGTAATCCTCTCTAACTGTAGAATATATAAGATCCAAAGCTTTCTTGATTTTATTGCAAGCACTTAGAATGTCCAGTTTGCTATATTCTGATCCTGTTTCAATTTCTTGTATAAGATGTTGAAGTAGAAATTTACTATATCTATGTTTTAAGCACCAGATCTAGTGGCTGGGAGCACTGGTGCTGTTTTGTAGGAAAAACATCAAATTGACATTAGACAGCTTAGTTATGTCCTTTGTCTCCAGAAAATCTATCCAAAATCACAAAGCATTTCTGTTACAATATCACATTTCTATATTGAATGCTTTTAGATAGTTATGGAAAATTCTTGATGTCATCCAGACATTTTTGTTTTTTAAAGTAAATTTAGTTTTGAAATTATTCAACTATTCATTGGAAGCCTTGAAATCTTCTATCCCTGTGCAAAAAAACACTAGGAACTGGAAGATATACTCTTCTCTTTGAAACCAGTTGTACAAATCTTCCTCTAAATTGTACAAAGTGCATGAAAATTTGTACAAAAGTCATACAAATTTTCATACACTTTCAGTTACTTATTGTAACTTTTATCAAAATTTTATAAGTCAGATTATTTATAAATAAAAAAGAATGGTTATTTTATTTGATTTGAAAATTTTAAAACTATTAAAATTGTTGTTGGCAAATTTAACCATTAAAAAATTATACATTCTTTAAATCATGTTTGCCAGATGTCCTGTTGATAAGATATAAGCTTGCTTACTGCCATGGGAAATAGGCATAATCAAGACTTTATAGTTTACCAAGGGCAAACAGATCAAGGCATTGTTGCTCATGTTGACAACTCCATTATGTATCAGGATCTGTTCTAGTAGACATAATTGTGGGCTGGTTGGCCACACTTATGAACATTAGAACAAAATACAACCTATAATGTTTTGTGCATTTTATCAATTAATAAAGTAATTAATTTGTAATTATAAGTATTAACACATAATGAGATAAATAATACTGTTTAAATTTAATTAAAATATAGTATCTGTATATATGTAAAATGTTTAAGTATTATGTATGTTTTTAAATAACTAAAAAAATACAATGTTTTGAATAAATAGGGTGAACCTGAACTGATAACTTCTGAAGAAGATTGCCATTATGAATTTGAATGGAAAACTAATCTTGTGTGTCCAAAAAGTAATATTACTGAAAATCCTTCAGTTATTAATTGTGTTTACAGAGATGCTAACAAAGGGATTGACATTGATCTTTCACCATTAAGAAAAGTTAATTCTTCATATGTGGTAAGTATATAAAAGTAACAATTCAACAAATAGAATGTCATAGTCATATCCAACTTTTTAGAACACAAAAATTGCACATTATAAAAAGTTCATTTTCTTTTAAGTGTTATATAAAAATACAAAAGATCTAGGTAAAAAAATTTAATCTAGAAAGAAGTTTGACTGATTCAATTTTAAATTAAGTACAATGATTTGAAGTAATGATTTGAATAATTTTTTGAAGTTGATAAAATAGTTAACTGATTTTTTTTTGTGTTAATAATACAAATATGTTTAAAAAGTTTTGAATAATAAGAGTTATTAAAGTAAAAATATTTAATTTAATAGTCATTTGATGAACCAATTTAAAATTATATATATATTATTCTTGAAAGTTTTCCATATATAAAAATTGAATTATATTTATTAAGATATGTACATTACTTATATTAATTAGTAATTAGTTCAATATTATATAATTGTTAAATATTGTTATGGTTCTTGTCATTTGATTCCTACAATTATAAATAAATAGCTTTCTTTTTTAGGGGTAAAAGATAATATAAAATATAGTTAAATATTTTGTTATAAATAAATATTTATTGAGTAATTAAAAATCCAGCATGAAAAATAATTTAATGTAAAAACAAACAAGGTTTTGTTTTTATATTCAATTATTTTTACATGCTGTATTTTGGTAATCTTTTTATTAATTTATATAAAATTACCGAGTTTCTCTTCTACTTACATGGTTGTTATGATACATTAAAGTTGTTGGCTTGGCATGTTTTTAACAATATCAAGTAAAACATAGGAAAAATTTATCATTTTTCTTCTGTAATTATCTATCTGTTAAGTTATTGATTTGTGAAAGTGCTTTATATTAGATTACATTCTACAAATATGATATAGTGATTCTTGTTATTAAGGAATTTTGGTTATAAATTTATTGAATTAATTTAGATAAATATTGAAATATTTATCTAAATTAAAAATTAATATAATAGTCATTATAATTATAATTTTAGAAACTTATTAACAAGAATTATAAATTTCTTGCTAAAGAACTTTTCATATGTAATTGCTTATTAAACTGTTTGTCATTTAAGATTATTGTATAGTCTGATGTTGATAAGAAATTTTTCAATTTACATAAATTTCAGTATTCAAAAAATTATGTATATTAGATTCAAATTTATATTCATCTTTTTTCATAAATATTTATTATAAATTGTTGTAAAAGTGTTTATATTTTTAATATACTACAAAATAGCCAATCCTGTTGTTACTTTTTTAACCTTTTAGTGTTTATATTGTTTTATGATTAAAATTTCTAAAGCTGTTTTTTAAAAATGAAGAATAACTTTTATTAACAATTGGATTAGACATACATAATGCAATTTTTATCTGTTATCTAAATAGGTGAAAAGTAAACGTAATACATATTTACTGAATATCTGTGGATCAGTTAATTCATCAAAATCAGGTTGTTCTTCTGCTGCTGTTTGTCGCCAAGTTCAACATATAACTGAGAATGAAAATTTTGGTTCTGTAAATAGTGCCAGTCTTTCATATAATGCTGAAACATTGACATTGAATTACGCTGAAGGAGGTAGTTGTATTATGAGTTGTAAGTATTAGGAATTTTTATTCAATGATTTCAGTTTATTTTGTAAAATGATGTATCTTTTTTAGCAGAATTCTTATAGGAATTAGATATATCATAATCTTATATCTCTTATTTGTGATTGATAATGCATTGTTAATCTGAATATGTTTATACTTAGAACTTCTTATTTATATAAGCAATTTTTTCAACAGTTTTTGCCAAATTGTTGAAAAATAAGTTGTTACATAAAGAAAAATTCTTGTTTGAATCAGAAAAATGTTATGGTTAGGTGAAAACCAAGTCTTTATTTATTTATTTTTAACAATTTTACATTAGCATAAGGTTTATAGCTCCAGTTAATTTACATGTTTTGTATACCACATAAAACAATACAAAATTATTTATTGAAAGCTGTTTTTACAATATTCACTCAAGATGTTCATGTAAACAATGTACAGATCTAAAACTGAATTATCAGAATACAAGAAGTAGATTGATTAAAGAATAATGTATCTAGGTAAAAGAAATGTCAAGATATACAGTAGAGTGTCATTTATCCAAATCAATTGGGGACTGGGGTTGTTCGGATAACTTATTTTTCAGATAACCGATTATGTACGAAAAAATATATTAACCTATCCCACGTTGAAATTTTTCTCCGTTGCGTGTCGCTTTGTGTTGAATTTTCGTCAATGTTAAGCCTAATGTAAACTTTTCAAAATAATAATTGTGGCTATTGTATCGTTAAAAATTATTTCTTTATTTTTTACAAACAAAATAAANATTTAAAATCAACTGTAGTGCGTACCATAAAACAGAAATACAATAGAGCGTCGTTTATCCAAATCAATTGGGGACTGGGGTAGTTTGGATAACTTATTTTTCGGATAACTGATTATGTACAAAAAAGTATATTAACTTATCCCATGTTGAAATTTTTCTCCGTTGCGTGTCGCTTCGCATTGAATTTTCGTCGATGTTAAGCCTAACATAAACTTTTCAAAATAATAATTGTGGCTCCGTTGCGTGTCGCTTCGCATTGAATTTTCGTCGATGTTAAGCCTAATGTAAACTTTTCAAAATAATAATTGTGGCTATTGTATCGTTAAAAATTATTTCTTTATTTTTTACAAACAAAATAAATATATTGAAAAATATAAAAACCAAAAGAAATGTACTTTAGAAGTTGATCTAGTATCAAAAACATTCAATTCAGCACCACACACAGTCTTCAGAAAAACACTGCATGAAAGTGCCAGTGCTGCCAGCTAAAATACACACAACAACAAAAAAAATATTGGAGTAGCCCAAGATATAGCCAAAGGTTGCAGCGCCACAGTGCTAGCGAAAATTTAAATTTGCTGACTGAAATTCTTTCAGATAAACAACGCTCTACTGTAATTTTATATTTTAACATAACAATACACGGTGCATTCAAGTTTTAAGGTCTTCCATTTTTTTTCTGACAAAATACTTACACAAACAATTTGAAACTTCTGTCACTAATCAACATAATCTCTCTGCAGATGTACACATTTTTCACAATGTTGATGCCATGACATCATGGCTGCTGCAAATGCTTTTTTAGGGGTTTGTTTTGATCACTGGAAAATTGCTGATGCTAGAGTTGCATGACTGGAAAATGTGCGACCACAGAGGGTGTCCTTCATCGTTGGAAAAAAAACCAAAAATTGCTAGGAGCAAGGTCAGGTGAGTAGGGAGCATGAGAAACCACTACAAAGTTGTTTTCACGAAGAAGCTCCTGTGTGTTAACATCATCTGATGAGCTGGAGCATTGTCTTGCTGGAAGAGCACTTGTGCAGCTTTTTCCAGCTGTTTTTTTCACAATGCTGGAAGCAGTTCATAATGACAACATGATTGTGCACGTGAAGCAACTTGCTTCACACATGCAATCATGTTGTCACACCAGCTGGGTGCACCAGCTGGTGTGACAACATGACAGACATGGATGTTTTGGTTCATTGTCACACAATGTTTGCCACGAACACACATTTTTCATATCCATGACACCACCACTGCATGTGTCACTCAACTGGCAATGAATTTCGGTGGGTGTCACTCCACACAAGTGTAAAAAATGAATGATTACATGTTGACTTGTAATGAAAACATCACCATTTTAAGTATCAAAAATGCCTCTCATTTGAATTGCTTCTGCTAGAGTTCCGTGCAACATGTGGTGCTATCCTTTCTTTTATGCAACCACAAACAATGTCTGCTTCTTTTAAAAAAAAAAAACTCATGTTGCTACCTGTTCCCTTTCCCTAGAAAAAAAAAATAGGAGATCTTACAACTTGAATGCACCTCATAATTATAATTTCATAACAACAATTTTCAATATTAATTAATTTTAATTTTTTAAATATAATCATTGAACATAAGAAATTTGTCTCTCAAGCACTATAAAGTGCAGTTAATTGAACACTAGGCATCCTTTCATCCTTTTATTTGTTCTTTTAGTTGAAACTTGTAACTAATGTTAACCCAATCGGAGAAAAACAACCTATCACCAAAACCCATAATAATATGTAATTACAATATAACATCTTCAGCTTTTTTACTCTGTTGATCAGTCAGTTAAGGGCCTTAACTGACTTTGTTCTTTGAAAGGACCACCCATTAACTTCCTCTGTGGACTCTTCATAATTTGTGGAATGAGTTAACAAAGGGAAAGGAAGGTCTTTATGTAGGGATAGGAGACACGAAAAGACTTCACTTTTGAATCAGACTTGAACTTGGAGATGACTATTTGTTTGCTCCTGTACCAACTATTTTTTAAGTTTGAGTTTTGAATAATAACCTTTATATATTTACCAATGAGCTAGACTATACTACATAAGAGTGGCTGTAGCAAAGCCATGTTTAAAGAAACTTGAATATACAACCACCATTTTTCTTTTAGTTAAGGGTGTGGCATTTGTGTTGTATAAAGGCAACGAGCTAGAATATTCTAACTTGTATATATTATAAGCAAAATGTTCCATCATCATTACACACAAATAATATAAATTTAATAATTAATTTGATTTTACAATTTGAAATTTCANGCAAAATGAGTAATTATTACATTTATCAATATTTTTGATGATAAATTATAGCTTTTCGCTATTTTTATTTATAAATAAATAAAAACAAATTATACTTTGTTATTTATATTTTTATTATACATAGAAGGAAGTAAATAATTATTTGATAAATATAATTAAAACGTTCACGAAATCTTTCGTTAATGAAAAGATTCCGTTATTGTTGCAAGGAAAAAGAAAATGAAATTATTTAGAAGAGCGATCTACATGAAAAATTATGAAGATTGCTTAAGCTTTTTCATTTTCGAAGCTTTAAATTTTAATGATTTCTTCTCAGTAGAGAAGAATAGAATAGAAGAAGAAAAGAAGCAAAGACATCAGTAACAACTTAGAAATATTGTTTTAATGATTTAGTCTCATTTGAGTCTATCATTAGTCTCTATCATATATATAGTCTCTATCATTTCATTATAGTCATAATGAAATGATTATGACTAAATCATGAAATGATTTAGTCATAATGACATTCTTCTCAGTGTGCTTCTTCTTCTATTTTTTTCTTTTGCTAATATAAGAATGCTGACAGCCTGATACCAGGTGGTTAATGTGGGTAGCCTATCGCTCTGGAAGACCTGAGTGAATCTGGACGGGTTGAAAAACCGCTAAATTTTTCAGGGGTGGTCCGTCCGGATATGTCAAGCTCGCTTAAAAAGTCCTCATAGTACCCACAGGGCGGAGAGAGTTAAAAAAATATATATATACAAGCCTAATAAGTTACATTTACTTTCCGATTCATCAAAGTAATGATTTCATCACTGTAGATTTTATTTCGTGTTTTAAGAAGGTTTAATTCTTATTTAACTTAAGAACGTACTTAGAAGATTTGAAACTCGGATTTTCTTAGGAAAGTTCAAAATGAATTCCAAATAGTTCGAAGCCATTTATTATTTGATCCTGTAAGAAAATGAACAAAATGATTGATATGAATTCAACATTCAGAAAAAAGTTCATGCAAATGTATCATCTTATAAAATCAATAGAGTAAAAAACTTATGAACAATGTTGTTAAATGAGTCCAACTCTTGAGATTCTTTCATATCTGTCATGTTATTTTTCTTTCTCTTCTCTTAGACACAAATCTCACTCGAATATGAATATTAGAGGTATTGATTCCAATATATTTAAATTTTATTATCACTCAATGAATATTGTCAAATCTCTTCTAGTTTACGAAAATTTTATTTCTGTTTGTGTTTTACTACTGAAAAATTGACTTTCTTATTATAATACCATTTTCATTAACTTTTCTAATGATTTTATTTAGAAATAATTAGAGAAGTTATTTAAATTAGTGACATACGATGACGTTTAAAACATGAAAAACAACAGGTAGAAAGACATTAAGGAGATTGGTGTTGTATTCAGCAGCACCAATCTTCTTAATGCCTTTCTACATACTGTACTTCTGTTTTTCATGTTAAAATTACGAATTCAAAAGTATTGTTCCTGTTATGTTTAACAAAATAGAAACTCAATTTTTTAAAATACAGTATTTAATTTTTTAATAATTTCAGCTAAATGTTAAAAATTTATGTTTGAACATAAATTTTTATTTTAAGCAAGTTAACATTAATTGAACTTTCAGGCTATCTGCTTATTAATAGTAGCATTAAAGTAGCCCAATTCAAAGTGACAATCATTTGGCTTATGCTTATTGCAAAATTTCAACATCTGTAAATCCATAATAATGAGATATTTGTCAAGTTCATCCATATACATTCATTTAAAAAAATTTCATTTGCATTTCAACTCAAGACTTGCTTTTACTAATTCAGCTTTTATTTCATAACTTGTTTTTTACAAAACAGCCATGTTGTTATAAAAGTTGTGATCATATTTCGGTGCATATGCTCTCTTTAGTACAGCTAACAACTTCCTTTTTTCTAATTACATGGTGTACAACTAGTTGACAATTAAACTTGGTTATACTTAAAATGTAAAAATTTAAAATTTATGAAATATAATTTGCTTTGAATGTGCAAATTAAATTTATTTAGGTATATAAAGTATAATGTCATTGCTAAATTGTTACAATATTATTAACAAATAAATAAATAATGTATAACAAATTGAAAAGTCTCACGGAAATAAAACTAAGTTTATTAGATTTCAGATAATAAAATTTTTATACCAGCTATTGATTATATATTATTGAATCAAAAATTTAGAAAAAATAATAGTGAATGATTATGTTAATTTATTAATATTACCATTATTTTAAATCTGTGAGTTATTCTGTTATTTTATTGTTATGATGTCAAGTAATAAAGCTTTTCAATTTTTTAGCATCTAGAAAACGATTTACAAACATCTTATTTTCCTGTAATCCAAAAGCTGGAACTGGAGAACCAAAAGTCTTGAAGGTATGTAGAACATTCTATGCTTTATCTTCACTTTTTGATTTAAGTAAGTAGTATTGAATTTAAAATTAATTATAGCAAACTATGAAGTATGTGTGTGTTTGTAAGCACATATACACATTTGAGATATTTCAGAACAATTTATAAATTCAAATCTTCAATGTATTTTGTAGCAAAAGAATTTAACAGGATTTATGTAACAAATAAAAGAAAAACAAATTGAAAATTTATCATTAATATTAGCATTGTTAGTATAAATGGATTTAAATTGTATCACCTATTTTCACTTCACATATTTCAAATAGAGTTTTTCATTATGTAAACTAATTTATTGAATTTACAAGATTTTTCTTTCCTGATTTAAAACGTAGTCTAACAATATTTTTGGCATTCATTTTGAATCTTCTTGTATAGGTACCAATAAATTTTTAATAGGAAAAAGATCTTAACTATTTTCAAATGAAGGTGTAACTTTAGTATTTGGTAAATTTAGTCAACTTTTATTAATATTGAATGTGACATTATTTTATTGGAAAATAGCTTTTCTTCTAAAATTGTATACATATCTGAATTCTGCAAATAAAGTTTGCATAAAATATTAATATAAATTCTTTTTACTTTTGCTTCTCTTCTGCCAGAAATTTTTTCTCTCTGATGGTTGAATAATTTAATAAATTGCATTTCAGTAAAATAATTTCTTACTAATGCCAAGTTCAGGTAGATCTTCTGTTATAATTTTTTCTATATTGTTCTTTATTCCTCTAGCTAGTTTTCCTACTAGTTCTGAGATTCTTTACTAATTGCCAGAACATTTTGCCCCCATCTTTATACTTTCTTTCTATTTTTATTCCAACATTTTTGTTTAGCAGTCTTTACACACAGTTTGGCTCTCTTACATTTAACTTTACAATCTAATAGGTTGCTTGTTGGCCTTATTTGCCAGATATCTTTTATTATTCTATTATATGTATAACTTAATATTTTCAAAATAAATGTCAAATAACAATTGTTATGATATATTATTAAATTTTTTTATTTTGTATAGGAAACAGCATGTTTTGCAGTTTTTAAATGGGAGACAAATTTAGTTTGTAGAAGTTATCAAAGGCCATGTTCTTTTAATGCACAAGGTCAACACTATGATTTTCAGTTATTATCAAGTTTAAGCCATGACTGGAATACAACAGATAGTGAAGGAAATATGTAATTATTATAAATTATAATTATTAAATATTATAACCATAATTAAAAGTGTAATGAATATTTTACTTGATAACATTATCAGAAATTATTAAGACTAATCTGTTCTTCAAATGATTTATATATACAATGGAGCATCGATTATCCAAAACAATTCGGGACTGGGGTTGTGGGGACTGGGAATTTTTTCATACATAATCAGTTATCCGATTATGTTTGAAAAAATATATTAACCTATCCCATGTTGAAATTTGTTCAAATCCTGGCACGTCCCTAAGTACCCTCTCATGTTCGCGGCAATGCTGTCAGCTAAAACACGCACACCAATAAAAATAATATTCGAGTAACTCAAGACATAGCCAAATATTGCAGCGCCACAGCACTAGTGGAAATTTAAATTTGCTGACTGGAACGCTTTCGGTTAATCAATATTTCAGTTCATCGATATTCGCATAATTTATGCTCTACTGTATATATAGTAAAAGAATACTGTATATATATTAAAAGAAAGTGGTGCTGAAAGACAGACTATACATCATATCTTGGAAGGTTGTCCAGTAAGATCTTTCCCGGGACAACTGAGTGACTTCCTGATTGTGACTGAAAGTGCTTTAAACTATATTTCTAACTTAGATTTACATTTATGATTTGTGTTCTTACTTTTTCTGCTTTCTGTTCTTGTTAACAATTAGATGTGTAGCCATACGCTAAATAAATAAATAAATAGTAAAAGAATAATAGTTATATATTTAAATACTAAAAGTATCAAGGACTTTTGTTGTTAAAATCAAAATTATACAGAAAACTGATCAGTTAAAAATTTTTCTTCATTAAGTTTTTCTTATTATTTTAAGTTGGAAGATATCTTTATTATTTTCTCTTTTAGACTTACAAAATTCAATTTAAACATTTGTTTTTCATTTAAATCTGTTTTAATGATTATAAAATAAGAAATCTTTATTAATAATAAAGTAATCATTTATAATTTTTTTATTATAGATACTGGTTGAATTTGTGTAGAGAAACTAAGATTAATAAAGATTACTTAACTTGCCAAAATTCACCTGTATGTAGAAAGGATACTAAGGGTAATGTTGCTTCTTTAGGAAAGTCACAGTCTCAAGAATTTCATATTGATAGTAAGTAAAACAGTTAAAAATTTATATTTATTTTATTTTTTCTAAAAATTAACTTATTTATTTTTAATTGTTTAGGTAATCATAATATTCTTCTAAGCTATGCAGATGGAAGTGATTCAGTCTGCCCACGTAAAAATACATATGCAAAAACAAATATCAAATTCATTTGTGGTAATACATTGAGTACTCCAAAATATACATCAGGTCCTAATGATGAATGTGTGTTTGAATTTTTATGGAAAACTAGAATTGCATGTGCAGAAGAAAAGTAAGAATGAATTGCTTGTTTATTAGTTATAACTATATAATGATTTCAGTATTTAAATAATATAATTAAAATGATTTTTATAAATGAAATATTTAATTTTGTCAATCAAAAATTGCAAACAGATTATTGGTCAAATTGTAATTATTTTAAAATATTTTACTCGAGGAAAATAGTATAATTGCAGATAATTGTGAATCTGATATTTGAACTCTTAAATGTCCTAATAACTCATTTATTGAAATAATTTTATTTACTTAAAATTTATTTTTATTTTAAAAAATAAATTTTTTATGTAATTTTAATAATAAGTAATTAGTTCTGTAATTTTTCTCCAATAGTAATATTAGTAAATATTCAATAGAAGATTATCTTAACCACACACTTGTAAATTAGCAATCATTTATATTCTCATTGCTGAAAATGTGATTAAAAAATTCTATCATGAATATTTGAGTCAAAAAAATTCATTCAAATTTATTTATTTATTTATAGGTTTATGTAAGATAATATAATAATATACCTTATTTTTTGTCCAACACGTTAAATATTTTCTTGATAGAGTACTGTTATATCACATTGTCTATACATACAAGAATTTCCTTAATGACAGCATATTCTTCAGCCAATCTTTAAACCATGCTGTTTAAAGATTGGCTGAATTTTGCAGTAATTCCTCCACAGTATTAATTTGTTTTGTGCTATGATATTATCAGAATAAAACAGTCATCCACAGTTTATGGTGATGAACTATATAACTTGTCTGGTACACTTCTCTTATGAAAGCTCTTGTAAAAAAAAAAATCCATTACAGTTGTTTTACATGGAAATATTTAACTTTAATAAATAATAAATTGCATGACCTCTTTTGCTTGTTTTATTACCTCATTAAGTAGTATGGAAAGGTAAAGCAATATGAAACCCACTATATAAAATTTATATTTATTTTATTTTTTCTAAAAATTAACTTATTTATTTTTAATTGTTTAGGTAATCATAATATTCTTCTAAGCTATGCAGATGGAAGTGATTCAGTCTGCCCACGTAAAAATACATATGCAAAAACAAATATCAAATTCATTTGTGGTAATACATTGAGTACTCCAAAATATACATCAGGTCCTAATGATGAATGTGTGTTTGAATTTTTATGGAAAACTAGAATTGCATGTGCAGAAGAAAAGTAAGAATGAATTGCTTGTTTATTAGTTATAACTATATAATGATTTCAGTATTTAAATAATATAATTAAAATGATTTTTATAAATGAAATATTTAATTTTGTCAATCAAAAATTGCAAACAGATTATTGGTCAAATTGTAATTATTTTAAAATATTTTACTCGAGGAAAATAGTATAATTGCAGATAATTGTGAATCTGATATTTGAACTCTTAAATGTCCTAATAACTCATTTATTGAAATAATTTTATTTACTTAAAATTTATTTTTATTTTAAAAAATAAATTTTTTATGTAATTTTAATAATAAGTAATTAGTTCTGTAATTTTTCTCCAATAGTAATATTAGTAAATATTCAATAGAAGATTATCTTAACCACACACTTGTAAATTAGCAATCATTTATATTCTCATTGCTGAAAATGTGATTAAAAAATTCTATCATGAATATTTGAGTCAAAAAAATTCATTCAAATTTATTTATTTATTTATAGGTTTATGTAAGATAATATAATAATATACCTTATTTTTTGTCCAACACGTTAAATATTTTCTTGATAGAGTACTGTTATATCACATTGTCTATACATACAAGAATTTCCTTAATGACAGCATATTCTTCAGCCAATCTTTAAACCATGCTGTTTAAAGATTGGCTGAATTTTGCAGTAATTCCTCCACAGTATTAATTTGTTTTGTGCTATGATATTATCAGAATAAAACAGTCATCCACAGTTTATGGTGATGAACTATATAACTTGTCTGGTACACTTCTCTTATGAAAGCTCTTGTAAAAAAAAAAATCCATTACAGTTGTTTTACATGGAAATATTTAACTTTAATAAATAATAAATTGCATGACCTCTTTTGCTTGTTTTATTACCTCATTAAGTAGTATGGAAAGGTAAAGCAATATGAAACCCACTATATAAAATTTATATTTATAAATATAAATAATATAAAAATTGTAAGCCATTGAAGATGTAGTAGAAGATAAGTCTTCAAGCTTGAGAATCCAGTTTCAGACTGAATTCTGAAACTGACAGCATTTGGATAATTCATTGACAATGCTAAGACTTTTTCTAGAAAGTATGTGGGATGAGTGCATTTGTTAACTAAGGTCTGAATAGCCAATCATCCTTATTGACTTTTACACCAAAAAATATCATGCACAAGCCATTCTTGAAGTTGTGTTGACTGTGCTGTGAAAATAGCTAGAGAGGTACAAATTTTCAAGCAAGTGCTTTGATTTGGCAAGTTTTCTTTTTATAAGGACCCTACACAAAAAACACTAGCCATATTGGAGTTCCTCACAGTTTTTTGATAGCAGAAAGTCTGAAAGCCTAATGTGAAAGTTGTTGTTCTTAATTAATACAAAAGCTTTAGATTTATTTGCAGTTAAAAGTTGGATGATTTATAAACCTCTTCATGTACTGATTTGGGCCTTATGGTTGTGGGACTTTCAAAATTTGACTTGTTTCATAGCAATATATTTGACGTTACAATAGGAATCAGCTTGTTATATTTTCATTGTAAAACTCTTTGATGAACGTGTCTAACTATGCCACTTCAAAAGTCTAATTTGAAGGATTTGAAAAATAGTTTGGCACCCATTTCAGGAACTTGTCAACAAGAAATTTTATATTCATTAATTCATATTTTATGGACTTGTTTGTTTGCATATAGTTGAATTTTATTTTTTAAATTATTAAAGTTTTATTCTCTATGTATATTTATTAAAATATTAAGTGATAATTAGTTTTTTTTTATTAAAAATTGTTACAATAGTCTTAGACACTATCTCAAAATGTGTTTTAAAATCTCTAAGAAAATACAGTAATTAGAAGGAATTATTATTAAATATTGATATAATGTTATAAATTTTGAAATTAATTTGTTCATTTTTGATTTTAATTAAATTTTATAGGAAAGAAGTTAGGTTAGAAAAAAATGGTATAATATATGAACCAAGATTAAACATGAATATTGATCTCTCTCCTCTACTAAACAAGTAAAGTTTTAATGACTTTTTTAATATATTATTTTGAATATTTATAATTTCAATTGAATTTTGTTTGATTTATATACTAAATGTTAATTATCAAAATTTAAATTCATTTTTAATATAAAGTAATTATTTTTATTTTAAAAAATATTATTAAAGTTTCTTAAATTTATTTCAGAACATACTTTATTGAAGGAATTCATCATGATGAAACGTACATATATGTTATTAATATACAGAAAGGAACCGGTGCAGTTACATCAGAAGCATGTCAGAATGCAGCTGTATGTCAAACAAAACAGCAAGAAAAGTTTTTTAGAGATATTGGATCTTTAGCAACTAGAACATTCTATTTAAAAGGTTAGGTTGTTTATATTACTAATGAATAATTAATTGAACAATTAATGAAAAATTGTTAAATTTGAAATCAATTGTAAGCTTTTATATTACATTTATCACTGTAAAAACTGAATGCAGAAAGTATAATCAACTCCAAAAACACCTAAATCCAGTTACAAAAACAATTTATTAACTGAATTAACATTTTCGACCTTGTTTGAGGCCCATCCTCAGGTTCTTAAGATGGAATGAAAACAAATTTAAAATACTTGTGTTTGAATGTTTGTTTTTGTACTGAATTTAGATGTTTTTGGAGTTGATTAAACTTTTACATTATAATTTACTATATAACTGGAATAAAGTATATAATTCACCATTAACATTTTAGATGTAGAGTTTACAGAATTAAAATTAATACACAGGCATTATTATTAATACACAGGCTAGATTATTTAACAAAATTAATGAACATAATTAATTTTGTTAAAATTTCTATAAAATTCAACAAAAGTAATTAATCATATTATAAAATATCTAATAAAATTAGTAATGGTATCTAGAGCATTCATATGATACTTGATCTTAAATTATTCATCAAAGTTTGGAAATTACATTCCAGTGTTTAAGTATTGTGTGCATGCATAACAATTTTTGCTTAACATAATATGATTTCATTGTCTGCACACAATCATAATATTGATTTAGCTATTCTAAGTACTGTACGTTTAAGATTTTTTTTTTTATGTAAGTTGGGTGTCCAACCTTTTTGTTTCTTTGGGCCGCATTGGAAGAGGTCAGGGAGTTTTGGGCCACAAGTATACAGAATATATACTTGTGGTTCAATATACAAGTATATTTAAGGATTAACATGTCTAGATTATAATAATAAGTATTAAAACTTTATCACAAAAAAAGGATATTTTAAAAAATTACTTCTACAGACACTTTCAATTTTTACATAGAAATAGATAAATTCATTTATTATAAAAGAGACAAATGAAAATTTATTTGAAAAACACAAATATTTGTTTTATTTGGATCTCTAATTAATAAAAAGCGACAAAACACCATTTTAAAGTGCATTTTTATTCAACTAATATAGTTATAAATAATATGCAGCCTAAAAAATAGCAAAAGTGCCAAATGATATTTTTTACATCAAACAAAAAACATAGCCACATTTGGCACAATGTAGCCAAATCTTGCAACGTTGGAATAAATACTAAATAAAGCTGGAGTTGTGACTCGTAGGATTATAGACCCAAATGCGGAGAAAGGAGAAAAAGGATAAATGATGAAGTGAGAAAGGTTGGAAAATTAAGGGTCAATATTTTCATAACAGAAGGTCTAACCTTTCTCACTAGCTTTTATCTTTAGTCCTTTCCCTCCTTTCCCCAAATTTGGGTCTATAATCCTTTGAGTCATAACTCCAGTTTTATTTAGTAGTCCTTCCTCATTCACACATCTCCAAGTATTTGAAAATATTTCCTTTCCACTCAAAAATAAAATATGAATAAAGATTTACGACTTTGTGAAACTTCTGTTTTGAGTTTATGCCGTTGAAATAATTAAATAATAAAAAAATTAAAACATTTGTCGGTTTTGTTTACTTGTTTATTGGGCTGCATTGGAACTTGCCTTGGGCTTCAGGTTGGACACCCGTGATGTAAGTGAATAAAGTAACTTTTTACTTTATGTAAATCTGAAGTATGCTTTTAAATCTTGAAAACTGACATTATAGACTTATCTTTAAAAAATAGAAGTTTTTTAAATAATACTGATCACTATCTCAAGATTATTATATTGTAATGAAAATTTACAGATTTTAAAGTAATGATTGCTATGAAATTAATGAAAGAAATAAAATTACATGAAGCAGGAAATGCAAATATTATTAATCAATTGATATGTTTTGATAATTGAGTTATTCTTAAACTCTGTGAATATATAAATGAAAAATTACGTAGATAGATCACAAATTTCAAAGAGAATATTTAAGAATATAAATGAATTCATTTTATAATCTTGAGCAAAATGTTCTTATTGGATGAAATTAATATTAAGGAAGTGCCCGAGAAATTGGAATTGATACAGTAATGATAATTTGATGTGAATTGTGTGATGTAGAAATAAATTTTTTTTATTTCAAATTGTTTGTCATATTTAAAATATTTGTCAGTAATATATTTAACACTAATTATAAAATTTGTGTAAATTAGCAAATAAATTACTTCCATGATATTTTCATTAAATATTATTAAAATGTATTAGATATAATTTACAAATAAATATTGAAGAAAATAAATGATCCTAGTTTTTTATATAAATAAATATATTGAATTAAAAAAGGTTCATATTTAAATTAGAAATATAATTAATATTTTATTTCAAATCATTACTTCTTTATTACATTATGAAATAAATGATACTTTAGAAAGTATTAATTTTATTTTTATTTTTCAAAGGTACCGAGTTGCAATTGGAATTGACTTCATTAGGAAGAAAGTGTGGTAAAAATGAAAATAAAAACGTTACTACAATAATAAATTTTGTTTGTGTTGAAGATGCTGGAGAGGTAAGTCATTCTGAAATCTGTAACCATTTTTCTTGGAATATTTAAATATACTTTCAAAACTTACAATGTTTTTTATATAATATTTATGTTTTAATTTTAGGTGATTTTCAATACAATAGATAAATTGTATGTTGTATTAACTTAGAAGAATTAAATTATTGTTTTTGAAAGATTAATATATTCATCATAGTAAAATTAAAAATAGTTCAAATTTTTTTTATCACACTAAATAATAAAAGTTGAAGAAAATATAAAATTATCATAATTTCTTGACATACAAAAGTTTTAAAATATATTCAGATATAATATAAAATAAAAATTGCAAAAATGAAGACTGACTCAAATGTTCTGAAGTCATCTTCTACACATCCATTCCAACTATCAGCATTAGCAGAGTCAACTCTTCTTTACAGGCTCTTCTCTGCCTACATACGTGCAAATTGTTTAAATGTCTCTCTGACATGGAATACATAAAAAAATTTTTCTTTATAAAAAGTTTTACAAAGAGATCAACACTAGTGACTCTACTAGTATTGATTGTGTTCCAACAGTTAGAATAGATATATAGAAGACTTTTGTCATCTCAGCCTTCACTTTTGTAGTTTATACATAATTGTTTTTATATTGTACAGTTATTTGATTTTCTTTTATTTATAATAAGTAATAATAAAAAAAAAGAATGAATGAGATACTTAAATTGTAGTTTTATATTAGAAAGTATAATGATTAAAGTTATAAATGTATTCAATGTAAGATTCATAAGTTTGCTAATATATTAGTATATTAAAAATCAGCTTAAAGTTCTTAAAATTGAATAAAAGGATTATTTTATTAACATAAAGCTTACAATTTATAGTTAATTGAAAATCTAAAATTTAAATTATGATTTAAAAAACAAAATATGCAAAGTTCTTTATTATTAAAATAGTAGTGACAAGTTTTATATATATAAAATGTTCATTATTTTGACCAATTACACTAATTAATTTTTTTATAATCTGAAGTAAGGAAATATTTGTTCAATAATAAATTACTTTGAGCTGAATATATTTATAGTTAGAGGATTTCTTAAAAGTCATAACATATGGAAAAATTGGATCTTTATAGCTTCTAGGTTCATGGATTAAACCTAGGGTGGACTTTGGAGACCTCAGTGGCCACCCTTGATATTTACTTATGGGAACACTTGAAGGCTTTTGTGTACCAAGAAAAGATTCAAAATCTGGATCACCTAAAGGAATGCATTTGAAGTCAATTAAGTGCATAATATCTAATGTGTTAATATTAGTTCAGTTTAAGATGCACTGGTATGTGTAGAAAGAAATAGCCAACATGTATAAAGTGTTTTTAGAAAAACGTGACTATAAGTGTTAAATTTTTCTATATATTGTGGCTTTTGAGAGATCCTATAATAAATAAATTTCAACTATTTATATAAGATAGTTTCTTTAATATACAGAACAAATTTTTTTGCATTTTAAGAAATTTAAATTAATTTAAAATTCTGAAGAAACAAAAAAATTATCAAACAGATTTTGTTTTGTAGATACAAAAAGAGGGATCTGTAAATTAAGATAGTGTAAAATAATTACATTTAAGAGTAAAGGATTTATTTAATTTTGAATTTTATGAAATAATTTTTAAGTAAAATGGCATTTTTAGCCACATGGATTAATCATTGTTTTATTTTTTAGGGAAGACCACTGTTTTATTATGAATCTGGAAATTGTGATTATCTGTTTGAATGGGAAACTGCATTAGCTTGTGTAAATAATTTCAAGTAAGTATTAGCATATTAGACAATATAAATTTTATTAGTTAAAATAAATTTATGAAAATATCTAAACATTTTTAGATCTGTCACTGATTATCATTCAGCATCAGATGAAACTGAAAAAGTGTCAGCATCAGTTACTGCACATGTTATTGTTGCATTACTTTTCACCGGTATCTTCCTAAGTCTAATCATTTTTATTGTCTCGAAAGAAGAGAGAAGGTAAGTTTTAAAATTAATTTACCAGATAGTTTTATTGTAGTGATACATTATGCAAAATTTCAGTATGGTTCTTATAGCAAATTACTTTTATTTTGCATTTAGTTTTATGATGTTTTTTCCTCATTGTTTATCAATTTTTCTTTTATAAACTCATATAAAATGAAATTTGAGTAAAAAGTTATATAAAAATTACAACAAATATCTCACTATTATATATTTGCATATTTTGTACTGTAAAATTCAAAATGTGATTTTTCATCCATGCATTATGAAAATATACTTATGTCAATATACTTAAGTCTTCATTTTATAAAAATTATTTGGATTTATTTGGATGTTTAAAATATTTAAAAATAAAACTTGAAAGGTAATTAAGTTCACAATATCCTAGAAACTTTTGTATTAGTTAATTAGATATACAGTCAAATCCAATTAATTTGAATTACTGCATTGGATAATTCAAATTTTTTAATACAAATTTGAACAATTGAAAGTTCATATATATCATATTTCAAAAATGAATCTCAGAGAAAGAAATGTTTAGTCAATTGTTTATGAAAAGGGTGCATTTTGGAAATTTTCTGAAGTATAAGACTCACCAAATAAACCATATCCAGTTCATAAGCAAACAGAAAAAATATAATTAAATACCCAGTTTTTTGAAATACAATTTTCTGAAGTGTGTTTTTTCTGTAAATTCTTGGAGTGTTGTCAAAATTGTCACTTTTCAATTTTGGGGAAATTTCTGTTTGAATGGTAGAATAGTTTACCTTTTTTTTATGATGTTCAAGATGGAACATGCAGAAGTTCATCTTCTGCTTAAAATGTTGACATGGTTAAAGGCATAGAAAGTAAGTAGAGAGAAAATTTGTTGCTCCAAAGAGCATGGAGTGCTGAAGAACACTAGAAATTTATAGAAAAATGGATAATTTAAATTTGAAAATTTTTGCATTTCCTCAACTGTTTGAATTAAGAAGTTTAGTTAAAAATGAATGGATAAAATCAAAAACATTAGTTCACTTATTAAATTTGTTTTTTGTTTCTGGATTCAGGTGCTATTTTGGGTTAATTATAGTAGTATGTCCAGTTTTTTTGCACTAATTAATATTGAAGGATTTAGTTAAATTAGATTTGACAGTTATCAGTTTACATAACAAAAAAATTATAAATGTGTTTTACTTTTTTTTCATTGGGTAATAGAAGATAAAGCAATTCTGTGTGTTAAGAATTTGCAAATGTAATGCATATTGTATATATATTATATACACTAAATAATAAAAAATATAGTAAAATAATATAATAATAAAATATAATAAAAAATATATATTTATTTTGCAGCATCATCATCAAATATTCAATTTTATATATACAGATATAGCTCAGTGTCTGAATTGCCATTATACAGATGATTATCTTTAGTACATCATTGCAATATTTCAATTGAAGAATAGTCCTGGTATTATAAATTTTTTCAATGCATTTTTGTCAAAAATTTGAAAGTCAATGAGTAAAAGTGGGAAATAGCTAGTGACTTCAATTGTAGCATCTGTTTTTGTTTCTTCACATCACTGAAATTCACATTTATATTGCCCAGAACAATTGGGAGATTAGTATTGTATTTAGTAGTATACTTTTATGTAAAAATTGTGATACAAATAATGGAAAAAATGTTAATAATGTTCAATAAACTTTATGGTATTGTCTTGATAAAATAATTAATGTATGTAGTATCCTGATGTCACTGAAACAGTAGAATACCTGATACAGAAAAATTAAAATTATTCATTAGTATCTGTGATTTACATGATAAATCATTTTGAAGTTTTAAGTTTGTTATAATATAAATGATAGCAAAATTTTTTCCTTGCTATACAACTTTAATATGGTCTTTTTCAATATTCGTTATGGATTCTGATAAGTTTTCAATGGGATAGATGGGCCTTTCCTAGTGGCTTGGCTGATGTATTTAAGACAGATCACTATGAAAATTTCTAAAATTCAACCCAAAGTTGAACTGAAGTCTCTTGGAATTGTTTATTTCTTTTTAGCTATCCTTTTGAATAGTATATTATTCAATAAATTAGTTTATCCATAAAATAAACATATAATAATCAGAAAAAATTATTTGATTAATATCCAAATTTTATGAAACTTTTTCATTTCAGTTGTAAAAAAATTGTTTTTTACTTTTTAGATATGCTGTGAAGCACAAAGTCTCAAGGATTTTCTCATATATATCTTCTTCAAAATGTTTCAGAAGGGTAATATAATTTTATCATATTTAATAATTATGTTATTTAGTTTACTCTATAGAAGTCTGTCTTTTTAAAATCATAAACTAAACTTGAAATTCTATTTTAAAAATAGCTTGTTTAAAATATAATTTAATTTACAGAATGATAGTGAATCGTTACCGCTCTCCTCTTCTGTAATTACTGCTTATCACGACGATAGCGACGTGGAGATTCTGACATGAGATATAAAATAAGTTGTTGCAGTGGAAGTTGGTCACAAACAGTATTACATCTTACAGTGATCATCTTTGATACACTAAAATTAAATTCTTGGAAGATCAATGTGCCTTTTCATGGTTCATGTTAAACTTTTATTGTGATACACACAATAGGTGTTGGTTGAAATTCACTATTTTTTTTAATGAATCCAAGAAGATCACTCATTTTTCTGTGTACTTTCTTTGCATCTAGTCCTAACGAACTATTTTCTAAGATTAAATGTGCACCAGTTGAACAAACTTTTATATTACCAAAAACCTAATTTGTGATCCTGTTCAGCTGTTACACAGTTTATAAATAATGCAATGTTATTTATTTTAGCACTTTAAATTAAATTATCGTTTTTGTAAAGGGAGGTTATATAAATATATTTAATTTGTTGATACCATAAGATTATGGAAATGGTTTTTTAATTTAAAAAAAAACATTCAGTAATTTTAATGGGTGTTTTTTACATTCCATCTAATGTACATTTGAAAAATAAAAACTATTTTAACTTAAGTTTTTTCAAAGTAATGTTTTTATTGTGAAATTATTGTTTAATTATCAGAAAATAAAAGCTGAGAAAGACATTTTGTATATATTCAAGTGTTTTTGGTTTTCAGAATTTGACATTTTGCATCAAAAAGGTTGAATTTCCGACCATAAAATAGAAATGGGCTGTCAACAAGAAGTTTAATTAAGAAGTGATATTTCAAAGTATTGATTAGTCACTAAGATAGCATTTAATAATGGTAAACCAGTTGGTGTATAAAAGCCCATAATGTTCGGAGATAGATTTAGGTCTCCTTGTATATTATAAAAGTTGACATTTCCAATAACATTACATACCTGTCTCATATATACACACAGCCCAATAGTCCATAATTTTTATATTTACACGATAAGACAAATTATAACAAAAGTCAATAGAAGTTATCCTTATAGATAAGTTATGAATTTATACTCGAGTCATTGTGAATGTATTTATTAAAAAGAGTCAATTTATAAGAAAAATTAAAATAAACATCCTACAAATAAAGAGTGTTTTTATTTATTTGAAAAGATTTTAACTTGTTTAATAATACAGAAATTTTTATTTAGCATCTCTCTCCATCATTAATTTCCTGGCTATTAACAATTAGAAAAGATGTTTAATTTTCAAATTAAGTTTTCTTTATAGTACTGTTCTAAAAATAATTCAATTATAAATTTTGAATATAATGAGATTAATAATACTTCTGACTGTTATATGGATAAGAGATTCTTTAAATATTCCTGATACTCTATTTAGACACACACACACACTTAAATGTAACATTCATAAGTCATTTCTACTCATGAAACTCCTACCTGGAAATATATTGACCTTTATTCTCAATGTCTCCTATGAAAATTCAACAGGAGCGGGTTCTTTCATTTTGGAGAATGGAATTTTCCCCCAGTCGTCACTGCTAAAATTGATTTCTGTGGTTTCTAAATAACAAAGATTAGAAAGCCGGCAGAAATTTCTTCCACCAATCCTGATAATCACGGAACAAATATTTCAAGAAAAAACAATAAACAGTATTAATTAGTGTTGGAAAAACACAGCATGACTTACAATCACGCAAAAACATTGAACAATCAATATCTATTTTTTCAGTCAGGTTTATATCTGTCTTGTCAGCTTTTTCATTTAAGTTCTCTCCAATGAAAAAAACTGACAACTGTGAATGTTTCTCTCTATTAGAAGAGTGAATTCTGGATAACATCATCCAGTTTATTAAGTATCATATTTACTTTACTGTGAAAATTATCTTTAAATTTTAATTGTAGGTAAATTCATTCGCTAAGGAAGTCTATTGAACATAATTTTTTACAATAAAACAGGAAAAATTATAATTATAGTTCGAATCTTGAGTTTATACAGTATTTTAAATGTATCCAGCAAATAATTTTTAAGGATATTTTAAATAAAGGTAACACCAGAAATGATAATTTATTTGTTTAATAAATTTATAATTTATAACTAATTTTTATTTATATATATATATGTATATATATACACGGATACACTGCTTAAATAATTACTCGAAAACTTATTGTTTATATTACCCATACAGGTAATTATCCATTGTGGATCAGTCTGAGTTAATATTTATTTTGCGAAAACGAGTAACAATCACGTAATGCATCGTTGTTTCTTAAGCTAATGTTTCATCTTTGCAGCCAATACTCGTGTAAATATTTTTTGTATTGTCATTAATAAAGAAACAAACGATAATTGCTACATCAATAATTTAATCTTGTGCTATTTAAGCTAGATTCTCTCTCAAATATAAGTTGTGCTTTTTAAAATTACAGAAATCAATATTTTTCAAACAGTAATATTTCTAAGAGGGCCTTTTTTTATACCTAGATGTAATAAAGGCCTGGAAGAAGTAAGGAGGCCCCAGATCCATCTCACTTCCTCAGGCCTTTTTTACATCCTGTGAGATGGACCTGATGGACACTTTTTCCAGCTGTCTCTAAATAATTCTAAAGAAAACAAAGTATGAAGATGTAGGAAAATAGGATTGAATGAAACTTAAATAGGATTGATATTGTACTTTTATGTAAATGAATTAAATGGTCAAGAGCCGCTAGACAAGTATCTGATCAATTTAAATTTTAGTTTTCTTGTAGAAATAATGAGTAAACGAAAAGAAATTATTATGTAGTTGTCAATATGTAAATTAATTTTATCCTTAAAAGTTGAAGTTAATGGCTAGAAAATTTTAAATTTTGCAGAATTTTTCTTTCCAATTCTAATTGTGCGTATTGATGTAAAGAAAAAATCATTATAAAAACTTGAATTGATATTTTTCTGTCAAATCTTGTACACATTCTTGTATATAATTAAGTATAAAATACATTTTCTCTCACGTGATTAATTTACATACGCTGTCAAATTAATTTGCCTATGTTGTTGTTAATCGTTATTGGAAAATACATTTTTCAAAATATATTGTAAATTATAGGAAATTACAGATACTATTGTTCTAAACTTAAACTTTTAACATTTTACATAATTAAATAAAGCTTAATAAAATATTAAAACGTTTGATAATGCATTTCCTGCCTTCACCAAACAAATTTATTAATGTGATAACACTTCCTAACATAATTTAAATACATTTTTATAAATATATACCTTAGAAATTTCTATATTTTTTCTTTTTTTAGCTCTATCTTTTCATGACAGAACTCGCGATCGATTGGTTGGAAGAATTAATTGTCTATGTAGTTATGAATTATATTCCTCATACTGTCACGATCTTATAGCCAGGCCCTATGACAGGAGGGACCATTTGGTTCAGACCTCATATATATATATATATATATATATGGTCCTCAAAAACACGTTATACAAATTATTTATCCTATTGCATTTGTGTAGTAAGAGCTATAAATAGTTTTTAAGGCTGGTTTAGTATATTAAAAATATAATAATAAGAGTCCAGAGAGGTTTAGCCTCTCTTGCCTTCAATATATTAAGGTTTATATTTAAGTTTATTACAATATCAAATGCATTTAAATTTTAAAAACTTTATAATGTAAACACGCCAATAGGAGACTAGCATTTCTACCATTTTTTATACAGTACACGGCTCTAATTATGCATTACGAGCCACGTGTTAATGTACTGTAGTTCAAGTAAGTCCATACTTTACATCAATCAAAAGTTTTAAAATAATGTAGAATACGTAAAGGTTAAAAACCCCTAAATTGGCCACACTTTTTAAATTACACAGATAATAATTAAACTATTCTTTGTTTTATATACAGAGGTTGACCATAAATTACGTAATGTAGATTTGGGTGAGTTCGTATACGGATAATCGGATACTCCTTTCTGTATCCGGTCTCTANTCCGCCTATCCATCTGTCCGTCCACAAAGTTAATCAAAAAGTGTGGGAATTAGAATAATATGGAGATAGATCTGCCCAAACTATCAAAGTATTTTTAAATTGTATTAATTTTGAATTGAAATCACGTAACTTCCGGCTCAAACCGACATTTCTTATATAGTTAATCGAGAGCAAAGATGTCTCGATTTTCTATTGGTCTTCTCTATGTCTAATTCTTCGTGTATCTAACTCCATTCTCGAGATTAACGAAGAACAGACGGACGGACAGACTGACCACAATGGGAATGTATAGGTCTGCAATTTGAAAATTGCAACCCAATAATATAAAATATTTCTTTTCTATCGCTATTATAATAATGAAAATCATCACAAACTGATTTTCTTGTTATATCTTATACAATCGACCCCCCTATAACACTGTTGATTATTCCGTTTTATATGAATTCCATGTTGTACGTGTCATTTAGATTTTACAAATACGTGAGCCATTCACAGCCTGGCACACGTATTTCTAAAATCTAAGTGACTCGTACAACATGGAATTCATATAAAACGGAATAATCAACAGTGTTATAGGGGGGTCAACTTGTATATATTTTTTTCTTTATGACTAACTAATTGAAAAAAATAATGGGCAAAATAGTTCTCTACTTTCTTTTAAATGATACATTATTTATTTTATCGATCGAAATATTTGTATAAACCTTTGGGAGGAGACGTTCTATATTATGAGGCACCGTCTATTATGAATTGTTACAAAATTCTACATTTGACCCAACTCGAGATATGACACGTGATTCCCCTCTATCTCCTCACTCTCTTGACCTTTAACCTCCAAAATTTAATAGCATTAATCGTTCATATATAGAAATAATCCTGCCAAGTTTCAAAATTTTTGATTCGTCCAGTCCCGATATATTATGCAAAATAGACGTCGACACACACACACACACACACATTTAAGAAGGTTTTTTACATTTTTGGGGCTCCTTTGAATGGCAAAATATCGAGAAATACAAAAACAGAAGATATCAAAATTTAACTAATCACCGTACATTTTTGATAAATGCGATAACTTTATTTAATTATACAGTAATATACAATAAAACTTGTAAATACAATATGTAGTAAAAACCATATTATATACATAAATACAGTATTCTGGATAACTTATCGATAAAAGTAAAAAAATACAGTATCATAGACTGAGATATTGCTGTTAAGATAAATCGATATTCCAATTTTCTCATATATTTTTTTGTAAGAAAAACTTTCGATTTTCTTAGAAATAATATTTGGTCTCATCCTTTAAAATAACCCCATTTAAATTATATTTTAAAACATTAAAAAATAATAAATTTATAGAATGATAATTTAAAAACTTTCGAGATTTAATATGTAAAAAAATTGTAATAATAAAACACTTTAAAATGCTTTTAGTAAAGCTTTAAAATTATTTATTATTAATATTTAATCTTATATTAAAGCCTAAAAAATTGATGGATAATAGTTTGTAATTTATGAAATAAATAAAAAAACCCCATTAAAACAAGGATATGTGCTTAAAGATTGACATTGAAACCGTTTACCCTTCACTCGTCATAATGACACATTCCTTCTATAAATAACCCGTTGAGGAAGATATCTTCACCTTAAAGTAGTTGTAATTTTTGCAAGTAATCATAAGCTCCGTTGTTTTAATTAATTTATACACTCGACTAATCAATCGAAATTTATTTTTCTTCCATAAAAAGATCTTGTATAATTATCAGATTTCATTCCTTTTTTTTTTTAACCATTTATATAATGGTCTCTTGTTCATACTGCATTGAAGGACAGTTCTTCAAGGATGTTCTCAGTCTCTTAACTATAACGCTAACGTTTAACGATATTCATTTTGCTTCCTTAAATAATTATTTATTTTTATATTTGTTAAATGTGTTTTTAGCCTTATTATGGGATACTTTCGTGTCTTGAATGCCCTTTATGCAGTAGTGTACTGTACTGTACATACTTTACTCGTATCACTCTCATTTACGCTCTCGTCACATTGAGTTGCGGGTGGATCGAATGAAACAAAGTAAATTCTAACAAGCACACGGTTTCAGTAATTCGTTAGGTTTGTCTGTCCGGAAGATTTCTTAATAAATTAAAAGGAGGAAGCTAAAAGTTCGAGATTTAAAGATAGTGTCTTTGAAGGAGGATTTCACATTTTACTTCCGTTACTTTTAGAAACTCTCAATGCAATATACTAACTTAATGGAAAAATAAAAGAGTTAAGAGCCTTGAAAGTTTATATTCACTTTGTGCATCCTTTCATTTATCTAAAAGGCTGTCTTCCTGTCTGTTTGTATCTCCGCCTATCCATCTGTCCGTCCACAAAGTTAATCAAAAAGTGTGGGAATTAGAATAATATGGAGATAGATCTGCCCAAACTATCAAAGTATTTTTAAATTGTATTAATTTTGAATTGAAATCACGTAACTTCCGGCTCAAACCGACATTTCTTATATAGTTAATCGAGAGCAAAGATGTCTCGATTTTCTATTGGTCTTCTCTATGTCTAATTCTTCGTGTATCTAACTCCATTCTCGAGATTAACGAAGAACAGACGGACGGACAGACTGACCACAATGGGAATGTATAGGTCTGCAATTTGAAAATTGCAACCCAATAATATAAAATATTTCTTTTCTATCGCTATTATAATAATGAAAATCATCACAAACTGATTTTCTTGTTATATCTTATACAATCGACCCCCCTATAACACTGTTGATTATTCCGTTTTATATGAATTCCATGTTGTACGTGTCATTTAGATTTTACAAATACGTGAGCCATTCACAGCCTGGCACACGTATTTCTAAAATCTAAGTGACTCGTACAACATGGAATTCATATAAAACGGAATAATCAACAGTGTTATAGGGGGGTCAACTTGTATATATTTTTTTCTTTATGACTAACTAATTGAAAAAAATAATGGGCAAAATAGTTCTCTACTTTCTTTTAAATGATACATTATTTATTTTATCGATCGAAATATTTGTATAAACCTTTGGGAGGAGACGTTCTCTGGAGAAGAAGAAGAAGAAAAAGAAGAAAAAGGATCAAAAATCTTATCGACCCAGAAGGATCATCTGCTTTAAAAAAATCGTTATAAGGAGTAAATTCTAGAGAATAAAAAAAAAAGAAGCTTAAAATCCCAACAGAATTTTGGTCAAATATAGAAAAATGTATGCTCCATAACACTAATTCTATGAATGTAATTTAAGAAATAAATTATAAATTCTTTTTTAAGTGGATAAATATATATAAAAATCTTATCTTCGTTGATTTAATAATTCTTTTTTCTAATTATTTAGTATATTATTATCAAATTTTTAAAAAAGAAATTTAAATTTTAAACATTTAATAAATGCTAAAACATAAAATTCTAGTAGAATATAAATAAAATAATATTAAATTTTAAGGTTGTATGGTTGTTGTATTATATAAAATTTTATAGCAATATCTTTTATATATATATTTTATTATTATC